TATTGTTTCAAAGTACCACGTATTTATTCTTACCTCCCGCTGAATAACACATATATGTTCTATACATGGCCACAAATGCACTCTCATATCATGACATTTGAAATACAAGTGTGACCTTGGACCTTTGTCCGCTACATGTCGTCTTAGGCGCCATATTTATCCAAAAATGATTTTTAATTCATCCATGAATGACAAAATCGTTAACCAGACTTTTTAGAGACTTTAAGGAAATATTTTGTTCGAAGGGAAAGTATGATTTTGGTCATCAGCTGGGTTTTACATGTGACTCATTGTCCCAAGCTCGGTACTAGTATGTAGAGGGTTCTATGGGATAAACACCATATGGATTATTTCTCTTACAAGTAGAAACTTTCTCTATTATTCAGGAAAGTAGTCTATTTCATGAAAAAAATATTTTTCGAATGCTAGCCTGGATGGCGATTCCTATATTACTTTTGGAAATACTAAGACATTTTTTAAATATCAGGTTGTGCATGAAAAATTGTTGACCGAGTTCCCCACTTATGAACTTTTACAAAATTGCCTTTCTTGATAGACATGACCCTGATCTTTGGACTGTTGAATTGGCTCTCAAACATTACACGTCCCAGTACTTGTTCTTGCGCAATTGACATTGACATAAGCAATAAACAAACAATTTTCATGGTATCCCTGTTTGAAGATAAAGTAATAATATAAGGTATATCATTTCCCAATCCGTTATAGGCCGTATATTTATGCTTAACTATTTCAAAATTCATATCTAAATGACAAAATACTAAAATGCACATCTTTATTCAAGCACTTTCAAGTCTAACTTGAGGAGTTGAGCTTCACACCTGGGTCTTTCTTATGACATTGTATCAATGTGCCACACATTAATGCAATTTATTTCAAAATCTATCCAAAAATGACAGATATGGACGGGATTAAAAACGGACTGACAGGGACAAGCTCTTACTGGGAGATTTGTGAAGATGTCTAGTATCTTCATGTTTGTTTCTTACTCCAAAAGCAGCCTTATGCCTCCCATAACCAATGATTCATCCTATAGGTCGGGGTATACGGAATTAATCTAAAAAGCCAAATTGTGATCGCAAATACCCCTAACTGATAAAAGAGGACGCTCGGACAGATAGACAGACGGACAGATATTTGAGCAGGTCTCCTCTTAGGACGATAGTTTTAAAAAACATCGCAATAATTTAAAGAACATGCATTGTATTCTTAGAAGTATAAAAAAACATCTAAATGACAAAAGTGAACGCAAATATGACTCTCATTTACGTTGTATTAGGGTATAAATTGTGACCTTTTTGCACCATTAAGTTTGTAGTTTTAATGGATGTTTTTTTCAAAGTCTTTGCTTGGAAGTCTTAATTAGTATCACTGCACTTCTAGTAAAAGAAAACATGCCTAGTAAAATGCCTTCTTGTGCTTGTTTACTTTAATTATAATACAGTGTATAAAACATAGGAAATTGTTTTGAAAACCAAGATGGCTGCCGCAATAAATTTTATTGTTTTTGCATCTATTCTTCTCGTCCACACTTCAGTAGACTAAAATTAGCAAAGCCTTAAATTAAAATGCCACAAAATGTGTATATACGTCGCCCATGGGAGAATTAAAGTAAAATTCAATGGCGGCCATTTTGAAATTGATTTTTATAGGTCAAGGACTAAAAATACAGCCTTGGTAGAGCAAAAAATGAATTCAGCGTACTCAAAATAGGTAAGTAAGCCCAACTACCTGCTTGTACTAAAAAATGCCGTTAGGATGAACATTTTCCCAAAATCAAACCAGTCTATAACTGCGTTCATAGAAAATTAGCTTTTTTAAATTAACATAGACCAACATGCCACTAACAAATACAGTTGCAAATGCTCATACATTATAAACATGTTTTTTTTGTACCATTTATCAATTCACCGCAACATATGTGTTTATAAAATGAATCACTTCATATTTAATATATTTTGACACATTTACAAGTTCATCCTGTTAATGAAATGTATTTGAAGCCATATTGAGTTTCTTTTTTCTCACTTGACAATATATTTATGATAAAATATCTGAAAGCATGCTGCTTTGTAAATTGGTGCATTTGTATTATGTAGACTTTTCTTTCATCGTCAGTATTAAAGAGATTTGAAGAAATATGAGAATGTTAACGCCAAATGTTTCCTTTGAAATATGATTGTCAATAAAGCTGAAAATATATCAAATGTTGTTGTGTGATTTATTGTAAACACAAACTTCATTATTATAATAGTTACATGTTTACCAGCATGAAACTGTAAACTCTCAAAGGGATTAAAATGGCAAATTGCAAATAACATTCGGAAATTTAATGTGGCGAACTAATTGATGAAACAATTGCTCGGAAATAGAATTGTAATACATGTAATTGAAGATATTTGTGAGATAAGCAGATGACACAACGTACGTGTACCAGTATTATTCTTTATGCCGTTTAATGTATCATTGAAACATATATAGATTTAATAAAAGACTTTCTACGTGTAAACTACACACAACACATTTTATTAATGTTATATGTTACAAATTAATAAAAACATGCTTTACATTATTTAATTAATTATATGTACCTTAAATAGCACATTCTTGTCCAAAACAAGGTGTTAATACTTAGAATATTTAAAGGTTTCTCTGTTATTGTATGGATTTTGAAAATATATAAATTGTAAAAAACATAATGCTTATATTGAAATGGCGGGTTTGCATTAAGTATTTACAAACTTTATATATTGTTAGTGATATTGTTAGAAATCATGAATTAAAATCTCACATATATACATCTTTGAAGTAACAGTGTGTAGTAATGAGCGTTATTAAATGTGCTGAAATTAATGATCTCGAAGAACCAGAAAAATATTACAACACTGAAGTGAAGACCTGGGCAATTTGTTTACACTTTTTGAACTCTTAACCATAAAACGTGTTCTTACCTTAAGGCCTCAACAGACGGTAGGTTTTTGAAGTACAACACCAATTAAAACTAAGATGTACAGGCAAATCTTAATGAGTGAAGGCTACTATTTCTTGAATTCGGAAACCTTAAGTCTAGATGTAAGGGATAGGACATGTTCTATTTTGAAAATCTTGTTGTACAGATTTCTACAGACCTCCCACAATGACAAGTAACAGAGTACCAAATTATCTCCTGATGTGTAATGAATGAAATTCTGCTAAAAGGTAAACATAGTGGTAAGATGGGGTAAAAATGATGTTGAAAAACTCTTCAGGAGACCAAAAGTTTTGTTATGTTCGAATCCCAAATTATTCCAAACAATGATTATGTCACGGTATTGAACTGTTCTGTAATTAGCGGAGGGGAGGTAGTTTGTAGGCGGCCGGATAGCTTAGTCAGTAAAGCCGCAGTACGGTATTCCGAAGGTCCCAGGTTTGAGTCACGGTCAGGCTTCACATTAATTTTTTTCTTTTTAAATGGAGGTGTTTTAATCATTACTCATGGCGAAAAAGTATTTAGTGAGTAAAGTATGTAAAGGATCAATTGGGAGGGATCCTTTTTAGGGAAACATCAGATTATTCCTACAGTGTAGAATTGCCGTCTGAATGCAAGTGTTGTATTGCTTTGAAACTTGTACATCTTATCTCTAATTAGTGCTGTACAACTAAATCCTACCGTCTGTTGAGGCCTTTAGCCAATTAAACAATTGTCTTAATTGTGTCTGAAAATTATATTAACAGTAAGAAAACAAAATTGAATGAAAGGCTTTAGAGAAATATAAATTTCATTTATGTTGGTAAAGATAGCTGTTAACTGTTATACTAACATTTTATTTTAAGTCTAGGAAGAAAACAATACACCTTGACTATAGAACAAAGCATGCTCTGTCCGAACCAAACAGAATAGATGTAGAATTAGTGTTATATTTTGTAAATGATACAATATGCATGCCTAAGTAACTCTTTTGTAACAATGTAATAATTAACAGTTGTTCAAGGCCACATGTTCTTAACCAGCAAAGTAGGAAAGCCACCATATTATTATATCATTTAATCAATTGATTCTTAATTCCTGTGACTATAAAGTTCTCATTCATAATTACAAATGAAAAATTTATTTCAAATAACTTTCACATGGATGTTATAATTAAATGAATGCAAGGACGTGCAATATGCCATGACGACGAATTTGAAATCGTCAAAACTATTACATTTCAAATTATATCACCAGAATGCAATGAGCTTTTAATTTTAATAACACTAAAAAGCCAATGTTGCAATTGCTCAAATAATCATATAGGAGTGGTTGCCTTTTTTTCAAGCCATGAACAAGGGAAAAACGCTTTAATAATGGATCAATACAAAAAAAGAATATTTGATTCACTTATAATCTAAAGAACTTGGCCAGAAATATTTGCATAGTAACATCAAACAGACGCCGTTTCGTTGATAAACCGTTGCATCTTTTATAAATGGCTTTTGTAGACCGATATAGATATTTTATAGTTAGGTGGTTCAAAGTGTTGATTAGAAGAAATACTATTGAAAAACGTTTATTTATTACTATTCATTAGGAGTAATTCCATTATGTTTTTTGGCACACAGACATACATGTACATCGCATTTCATAGCATGGCACTTTATGTTCATATTGAAGGTTCCTTGATGAATTAATGACTCATTTTGCAGAATTTATCACTCTATTTCTACTGGTTGATTTACGCAGTAAGGGCTATTTTACATAATTTTACCTGTTTGTTGGTGATTGCCGTATATTTTAAATGCTGTTTGCAAAGTATACATCATTTTATTTGCTTATTAATTATTTACAAAATATCTATTTTTAATACATTTAAAATATTTCATGAAAATTAGCATAAATCTGGAGGCATACTGCTTTAACGACAGATTAATCCGTTATCAAGAAAGTTGAAAAGTTATTAAATACTGAATTGTCAGTAAAGATGTTTATCAATAAATTGGTGTTATGTGTTTTATAGTAAGAACAATCTTCATTATTCTTCATTGGTTTACCAACATGAAAGAGTAAACTCTCAAAGGGATAGAAATGACAAAATGCAAATTACATCCGGAAATTTAATGTGACAAACTAATTAACAAAACAATTTTCTAGGAAATAGAATACAGATGTGTGAAAATAATAATCAAACTGGCAGATGCCACTACATATATATTACAATATTCTTTATGCGAGTTGTATGATTTGTAATTCTGTTAGTCTTTATGCAAGATTACCAGTTGTATGATTTGTGCTTACAAAATGACGTATATGCAATGAATTTATAAAGCAACTAATCAAAATCGAAATTTACAACCAAATATGTTATTTTTTCCAAATTAATGTGTGTATAACATATCAAGGTGAACATAGAAGAACATAGTAGATTTTGTGAACTCATTATAATAATAAAGTAGTTTAAATCACACCATATTTTGGAGGTTTTCTTGTTTTATAATTCCAGTTTCTGGCAAAATTGGTAATTGGACATTAAATAATGTTGTTTTTGTTTTCTTTAAAATAAACAAGAATTTGACTAGACCAATGAATCAAATTATTTGATACAACAACTGTCACTGATATATATTATTGTTTTTCTGATATTACTATTTAGTTGGTTTGTTTGGCTGGTTTGGGTTTTCCAGTAATTTGAACCCATTTAGTCGCCTCGTACAATCACGCAGGGATAAACGATGCCTCAATCTTTACTAGGCAAACCCTCAGCCACATGGGGTTACTATTTAGTAACGCGAGCAATGTGGAGAAGTGTATTAAAGTGAATGTTTTGTTTCAGCTATAACATAATTTTGATTATCTTAATTAAGGAGAACACTACTTTTGTTTAACTTTTGAAATCCTATGTTTGCTTCACATGCCATAAATTGTGCAATAAACTTCTCTTAATCTAGTGTGTTTCCAGGCAACTATATAAATCACTCTTGTATTTATCTTCGTGTTGAAGCATGCGTACAATGCTTTACGATAAATTAATGCAATTACATGTACAAAGAAATTGTCAGACGATGTACATGCTTTTATTATATAGCTTTCATTCGAGAAACGTTAATTGTTTAAAAAAAATAATTGATTGCAAAGCAATAACGTTTAAAAAAATTGATAAGAAGTTCTGGTATATTTGAAAATGAACTATGGTGTCTTTAGACAAGCTGCTTTACTAGTACATACACTTTTAAAGTGAATTTAACCTTTCAGTATTGTCAGTTGAAGAAGTCACTACAGACATATATAGATATGTGCTATTTTTAGAATAGAGCCACGTATCTCTAGCTTAGTGATGAAACTACGATTGAAAGAAATTTGTTTGAGTCTTATTTTACAAGTTAAATAGTGAGGAAAGTTTTTAGATTATTTATCTTACTCTTCTGTTCACATTCTAGACCAAAATAATTTTTAGTGTCCCAAGAGGGGTCATACATTATCAGGATACTTTGTCTTTCGGTGCAATAGTGCTCGAAACATGGGAAAGAAAGACACCTTATATCGCTGTACCGCTACACTCTACTGTACACTCATTTCTTAGTATTGTGTGGTTTCAGAAACGAGTTTGGGTGTGCCTTATTGCTTCCTACCCAATCGAACTATAATAAAATATGTTAACAAATCACATAATGAAAGGCTTCTAGAGGACGAGGACTGTACCTTGCAGATGCCTTGCAGTACAGTCCATATCCAAGGTCAATCAAACCTATTCTGGAACATTTTCAAATTTGTCGTTTTAAACGTTCTTTAGAGGGATTATTTTTTCCTCTTTTCACACTTGTATGAAATGCAGACACAAATTGTCGTTAAAAGTTGTCCAGAATTTATCCGTTAACATTTTTGTTTTATTGTGAGAGTCGTTAATCATTGTATAATGAGATATGTCCTATTTACAGGACGAAATGCTTATGTATGCTTTAAATATATTCAAAAATGTAATGAACAAGACATTGATGTTACAGTGTGTACTTTATATAAATAAGCGTGACCTGTCAGCCAATAAAGAAACCTGTTAATCAGTAAAAAAAATAATGATAGATAAATCTTATAAACACTAAAAAGGTCAAAATAAACAAGTTTCATTGGCTAACAAAAAAAAAACATGTCATTTTTTACTTTTTATATGCCCGAAAGAATTTCGGGCATATTATGTTATACCCCCTGGCGCCCGTCCGTCCGTTAGCAATTTGGTTTCCGGAGCATAACTTAAGTTCCATTTGGCCAACAGTATTTAAACTTCTTAGGATGAGTGTCCATATTAGGTAAAAGACCCCTATAGATTTTGGGGTCACAAGGTCAAAGGTCTAGGTCACTAGAACTAGATGGTGAAAACGCGTAAGTACGATGATGCAAACGCGATAGTACGATGATGAAAACTCGACAGTACGATACTACGATGATGAAAACGCGATAAACTATCGTGTTTTAACTATCGTACTGTCGCGTTTTCACCATCGTAGTTTCGTGATTTCGCGTTTCCATCATCGTACTGTCGAGTATCGCGTTTTAGATCAAACCATTCATAGGCGATGGCCCTAACGGCATTCCGTAGTATAAGGCCTAGCAAGCCTACTCACACTGTATGACTTTGTAGACTTGCCCGACTTTTATCTGGATTGCAGCGCTTAATCACCTTGATTTCTGGAAGGTAATGGTTAATAGCTTCACATTATTATAATATTATATTGATGTTACTTTGTCAATCGGTCAAAACTTGTTTTCTTCTGAATGACAACGTTTATACATACATTCATAAGTGTACGTGGAAATAATTGTTAATATAATTCATATGTTATGTTTCGCAAAACTGGCGTTTCGTCACTTATTTATGCAGATTTTGTTTTGTCTTTAGTCACGCGCATGAAAATTGTTGCATCATCAAGTATTTATGCCTTGCTCTCCTCCGTTATTAGCCACGTGATCATTATTGCTGTAGTTTCTTGACAGACGACTGCAATAATGTTGTCTGATTACTCTGTCAAAAACACAAAGACAAATAAAGTTTGCGAACGCTTGTGCTGTATCGCCAAACGCTTGCCAAGCCAACATCACTCTGTCTGTAATTATCATTTGTTCTGCAATAAAGAGACAACAATGTTACCGTACATGTACTTTAATTTACAAAAACAATATCAGTGAAAGATTGCCAAATTAGATAGAATTGTTCTCTAGTTGTAACAACATACAAACTCTCGGACAGTGTTGTGATAGCGTGTAAAATTAGTCAATATTTTAGGTTAAATCGGCAAATGTACCGATGAGTTGATAATACGGAAAGTGGTTTGCAAACCGAATGCTTAGGTGCAACCAACTTGCAATGCGAAGGACACTTAATGTACACTTTGTACATTTGCCTGTCCATGTATGTCCTTTATATGGGTGTTGATAATATATATATATAAATGTTGAATGTCCCCGTTATTCCCCAGGGTATGGATATAGTTGACTGATGCATAATGGAAATACTTTCAAAATGATACGCCGCGTTCGCAGCAAAGTCATTGAACAAAGTAATGAAAATAAGTGATCGAATATTGTTTAAATCTAAGATCAATATCATGCCAGGTAAAATATGAAAAGAACATTTATCAAATAATACTGTATCAGAAAACGTATTTATAGAACATGCGTGCAGAAATAGCCAGATTTACTAAAATATACAGTGTGTCACTTTATAATATCATGTGATGAAAACACCATACATTTAATATATATTAGGACTTTCACCCATTATGCCTCAGAAATATCAGACCCGTGTTTTATCGTTGTCTTAGATTTGTAATATAAGTCTATATGAAAGCGGCCTTTAGATTTGATTTTATGTTGGAAAACCAATTCTGTGTTGTTTAAAACTAAGTATTTCTGTAATTTTATCTTGGAAAAGTGCATCATAACATTGTTAATGCCTTAAAAACACCGTCCCGAGAGCTACGAGTATTTATAACACTTCAGTGGCGATTTTCTAAAGGGCCGGTCACACCGCCCGAACTTTGTTGGAACGTTCCTTGAATGGTGGGGAGAGGGGACCAAATTTCGACAACGTGTCCGCTCGTACAACTGCTTACAACTGCGTCATCAAAGTTTGTGCAACGTTTAATCACCGCCCGGGCAATGCTGGCGATGGTCAAGCATTCAAGATTTCGGCGTTGGCCTAGCGGTCCCAAGCGTCCACGAACTTGCGTCTAGCGGTGTCAAACTTTGACTGGGCGTTGTTGGAACTATGGTGAACTTTGCCGGAGCAGAAACTTACCCGCTCCTCACCGCTCGCAATATTTTGTGCAGCTCAAAACTTTCGGAACGGCAGGAGGGATCATAAGCTGTGGCTGAGCGTATACTGCGTTGCCTTAACGGAGGCCAAATTCTGATGAACGATAAAGAGCGGTGATGATTTTTGCACCGCTCCAGGAACGCTCCAGCAAAGTTCTTAAGGTGTGAAATTGAAGATCAGTGAAAGAATCACCCGCTTTACTAATTTAAATTTAGATAGAGGACCGGTAGATTATTTCCTTATTATTTCGTCGGCAAATTTCAATTCTTTTGAATTGGCAATTATATGAATCCATTTATCCAAAAGCTTCAGAAAAGCTGGCGGTGTTTACCGTAACATCCTAATCACTACTGTAATTGAAATTAATATTTATTTCTGGATCACATATTTTATAATCCGTAAAATTATACGCTTTGTTCTTACTATGTAAAGGTCCATACGTAACGTGCAGAAGAAAACGAAATGTTCCTGCGAAACGTAGTACATAGAATATGAGCCATATAAACACAAAATTTTTATCCCCTCGTCTAAGTCCAGTAGATGTTTGCAAACTTGAATCGTGTATTTCCAAATACTGTCCGCCACGCCGTCGGAGACATCTCTGTTAGTTAAAACAATAAATGAGCCACGTCATGACAAAACCAACGTAATGGGTGTGTTACCAGCATGGATCCAGACAATGCTGGTCGCATCCGCGCAGTCTGATCAGGATCCATGCTGTTCGCTATCACTATCACTACTTGTTATAGGGTTTGTAAGCGAACATCATGGATCCTGATCAGACTGCGCGGATGCGCAGGCTGGTCTGGATCCATGCTGGTCGCAAACCCATTATGTTTGTTTAGTCATGGCGTGGCTCAAATGACTTTTAAATATGCAGCTGCAAAATGCATGAATCTTTTACGTCAAACATAATTATTGCAATATGGCGTGTATTTATACCATTATAATCGAATATATTCTATGTAAGAACATGTAGAAATTCATATATGTACATTCAAACTTTCAAAAATTAAAAATGTATCATATTTATATGAAGATTTATGCTTCTGCTATTGTTGATGCTGCTGCTGTTGTTGTTGTCGTCGTCGTCGATGTTTTTGTCAAGCAAAGAGTAATAATGTGTTATTATGGTGGTATATATTGGGTAAGTTGGCCGAAAATCCAGCCTTGTTGATCTGAGTTGAACAGTTTGTTAATGGAAAAAATACAATTGTATTTCTTTGTATGTAAACTCCAATGTTGCATACTTGGATTGAGTTTGCCGATTTAACATTGTAAACATGCATTTCAACAAAATACATTTTGTTAAACGACAAAACATTAACTGATAGTAGCAATACCAAGTGTTCGAATACTCAAAACAGAAGTTACATTCTTAGCTTTACATTGTCGAACCATCATGATTCAGATCAGCATAATCCAGCTTTACACGTTTTTCAATATGAGATAAAATAAGCCCCGCCCATTTTCCCGCCCACTAAATCATCGTAAATAAACGTATTTTCCGCTCATTTTCGGTATTTACCGTCGGCGACAAGAAGCGGCGTGGTTTCCGTTTATCATACCTTTTAGGTGTTTAGTTACTAAACATAATTCACTTGCATGATTGTCTACAATCAACATCAGCTGACTTTAAAGGAATATAGGCATATAAGTTTTAAAACGTTGTAGACACCACTTTTACTTGAAAAAGAAAAAAAACACCAGGTTACCTACTGTCTGAGGTTAAATATTTTTCAAGGAAGTGAAAACGATTGAAAAGACTATATTCAACGACAAATAAATTTTACTGATGGTATTCCAATTTGCATAGGAATGAGTAACATTTACAGTTAAGCTGCTACCTTACCACTTTCAAATTTTCAAGTCAACATCTGACGAGTAATTACTAAAACAGACCAAATTCTGGCTGTTGTCTTTCCTAGTAGTACTATTATATTAGTAACCTTAATTCTAGCGTATGACTTGACAAGAATAAAAAACCTTTAACAATAGTAAAATTATAACCAAAGTTGTATGTACCCTTTCGTATATAACTTTTTATTTTTACCATATAGTTTCCCATTTTTCCCATTTTGTTTTTCAATAAGTAAAATTTAAATGAGTCCAAATGTATGTGTGTTGATTATCAATTTATGTATACCTTGTTTATTTTATCTCTTAGAAAGCCGTCACTTACAAAACTAAATAAATATTCCTGTGTAGTATTTCATGTCCATAAAAGAAGTTCTCTGCTTTTGATTATATAGACAGAAAATCTAGACAGCAAATCTAGGTAACAGCTAATGACAGCATGTATACACATATTTTAGAGCTGTCATTGATTCAGCACAATGCATAAAAAGACCTTAACCTACGCCAGCTTACATATGTTTAACAATAAAAGGCTAAATCACATCCTATGACTCAAAATAACTCCCAATGGAGGTAAACAGAGTTGCCAGGATACACTGAATATTTATTTCAACTTTAAAATGGGACAAATTCACAAGTTTTGGTTATACAACGGAATTATCGATAGTAAACTTTGCATTGTTTCGTGGTTATTCACTTGGTCAAAAATATGAGTTTTTCTATAACCCAACAAAGTCCTTTAAAGAAAGAAGGCACAGGCTTATTGTTCAGTTCTCTTTATTCGTGTTGCCAAAAGTGCCTTCCATGTATCGCATACTACTTCTTTTTGCTGAAGGTAAAAAAAAATATGCTTAAGAGTATTGCCGTGGCTCACAAAACCCTACCATTGATATCAATGAATAGTGGGGTGTGTCAATATATATGGGAAACATTTCCTTATGTAATTTCACCAACTTTAGTTTTTGCATATTATTATGCTCATTATCAGTATATACGTTGTTACATTTTTAAATTATATCTTAACCAATTTTGCATTACTTGAATATCCTGTACTAGAATAAGTTTTAACAAAATCAGAGGATGTTCAAAGTCAAGATTGATGTAACAGTTTCTATATAATTTGAAATATTTTTGTACCAGCTACCTCTCTTTATATTCTGCTTTCGTGAAATTGGCTCCGCCTATTAATTTTCGTCTATTTCCGTGATAATTCCATATATGGAAGTTGCAAAATCGTTTACAAATGTTAATCGCGTTAGAATGTTAAAGGAAAGTGCGGTGTTGTAAACCTGAGTGTGTCAAGTTGATGCAGTTACATTCTCAACGTCATGATGCACAGCATTAAACGTATTGTGTACGTTCTATCGTTTACATTTCTACATGTCGCAAATTTGAAGTTATACATTTATAAATACAATTTGCAATTTATCTTAGTTGCATGTTAACAGCTGTCATTTTATCAAATCGAGATAATCAAAATGCTTAATACCAGTGCAGTATGTAACTCTCGGATCGACAATTAGATTTTTACTAATCTGTTTAGTAGAACCGAAGTATGCATTGTCAAGTTTCAAAGGCTGGATTTTTGGCAACGAATAGCCTCTATAGAACTACGACGTGTTCATTATTTCTCCTACGAAAGAAGTTAGTTAGATTTCTTTTTATTTTCTTTTTTTGGTGTATTTTACATCGATATTGTTAAGCGAGTGAAGTTGCAAGAGTTATTCGAAAACTTATTACAAATTAAGTTTTAATGAATCAGTCATATTAAAAATATCAATTTATGTTCTTTACATAAAGAGAATTCAACACTAACGCCCAAAGTGGAAATGATGAGTATCTTGTGTAAAGTTTTTTCTTATAGCAGCTATCTATAAAACACATGCTTCATGACCTCTGCCCATTTTTAAAACTTTACATTGTAGTACAAATCTTGCTCCAGGCCTTGCCCCAGGCATTCAATAGTATACTAAAATAGAGATAAATAAAAAATCCCAAAAGAAAACTTAAAACGACAAAATTGAAAGTGTTTCAGACTCGGTTTGATTGAGCCTGTTCATAGACGATACTGGAAAATGCGAGTTACCGTCCACGCCCCCCCCCCTCTAGCACCGGCTACTAGAGTTATTAACATTCCTCTGTTAAAAACATCTCTCAGAGACTTGATTGTTTTATACTTACAGGTAATATAGACGTTTTATAAACAACAAATACAAGAACTTCCGCCAAAACTAGATAAGAAAGTAGTTCCCATCCCTTTACTGTCAAAATCATCCACAGTATAGCAGTCTTCCTCTCTTGATTTGTCTTTATCCAGCACCAAGGTCCCGTAAAAATATCCTCTGTGTTTCCAAATACTTTAAAGAACAGCGCAAGAATACAGGTTAACCCTACAAAATACAAGTATGTACCCATGTAAATCTGTTAAAAATTTAAAGACATAACTAAGTAACTTTTAATAAATAGTATACATCATTTAGGACCTCATAGAATTAAAGTGACAAATCAGTTAGCCCGCAAATATTTGGATAAGGTATGTTTAATGTTTTGCGCTGTCTGAGAGGTCACTATAATACTATGAGGTCCAAAGAACTGTATGCTATTTCTTATAGTATACCATGCATTACTTGAACATAAAGGTAAAACTTCAACGAGGAAGGCAATCGTATTGCTATAATAACAATCTTTTTCGTAAAATGTGATGAAGACTGTTGGTATTATGCAAATTGTAATTAAACCCTCGCGGCCGGCTACACGCGGTCGGACAAAAACGCGACCGTGCTCTCCCAGGCGGTCACTGTTACTTTGTCATGCATTGAATGATTTTAAAATAATAAGTCGATGTGTCGTGTCTAAGAATTACGTCTCTACTTCAAAGGTCAAAGTCATATTAACATTTTGAAGTTTAACATTATCACAATTAGAATTAATAGGTACACACAATCGTGTCCGGGCTGTATCTTTGCCATGCATGGACGGATTTTAAAATAACTTGGCATAAATGTCTACAACAGCAAGACAATGTGTTGCGGCTAAGGCTCATGTCCGTGTGTCTGTGTGTCCCCACTTACACAACAATCATGTCCAGACTGTAACTTTGTCATGCATTTAGGGATTTTGAAATAATTTGACACAAATGTCTGTCTCATAACAACATTTTGTCGCGTCCAGGAACCACGTCCCTTCTTCAAAGGTCAAGGTCACACTTATATTTTGAAAGTTCATGCTATCACAATTGGAGTTTACATGTACAATAATACCAAGAACAATATTCAGCAATGAGTTTTTTTCATTCTCTGTTCTTTTCATTATACCTGCATGCATAAGAATCATTTTCGGGGGCATTGTCACTTGGGTGACAGCTCTTGTTAATTTAAATATGCCCACTGATGTACAATTTTAAACAAATCCGACTCATTGTCAATAGATTGGCATTTTGTATTGCGGTTTCTAAAACCATGTATATAATAATAAATATATAAATAATGTATCGTTTGCTTTTGAATCTATAAATTCACTTATTTTATGTGAACTTTTACTTGATATATTGTTAATAAACTTGTCAACAAGTCCATGCATTAAATTACTATTTGGTTACATGTTTAGTTTCTTAGCGTAGGTTAGACCGAAATACCGTATCCGTTCTGTGTATTCATACTAGTGTGTTCGAGGTCCTTATCCGAAGACTAACTGAAAGGGTCGAAAAGTTGCGATTGGGCTCGCTGATTCTTATATGAATAAAATAAATAAGGAACATATTTAATGTAAGGTATAATATTAACAATAAGTATTAATATGTGTTTTTATTTCATATGTCATCATTTTAATCTATATCTTTCACAACATTTTACTAATGACACCAGATTCTCACCAAACATAAGAGCACTGCGCGAATTGATAATTCCGTGATTTCAAAATAGTGCGGATAATTGTGTATACACCCCAAAAGGGCCATTCCGCTAAAATTTGTAACTTTTTTGTAACCCTTTCTCTTTCGTAAAGCTTAAGTTTTTTCCACTTACCTACAACAGTTTTTCCTAACATCATTGTTAGCACGACAGTTTTAAGATACAAATATACTAGCCATATTTAATTGTTACTAATGCGTTGGTTTGATATTATTTTAATGGCTGCCATGGTTGATTATTAAATAAAAGAAGAGAATTGATAACATTTTGATATGTAGACTCGCATAATCACTGACTGGGAGCAATTTATCTTTCTGAACACATTCGTAGTTGTCCATATGGCTTTGTATTTAACAGAAGTAAAGAAGGTCTACAAAACATTCAAGCCCGAGTATAAGAATACTGGTATCTGGCAGTGACGGAAATACATGCCCCAATGGTTGATCTAGCTACCATTTAAAATATACACGAGGTCCAAATATTCCGGGAATTTATACTTGCAAATAACGCATGCACAAAAATAAAAACAACTTATATTTCTTTCGTTAGTACTTTATTATTTTTACAACAACTTTTCACTTTGCGATGATGGTGGAATGACGTCATACAAAGCACGCGACTCATCTAGCAGGTGGGATTGTAAGAAGATATCTCCCAGAACGAGTGCAAATATATCAGACAATCCAGTCGGCTATTCTAGAGATAAAACAAGTGGTTAAAGTATCTGCCCCTCAACCCAGGAATCATGGGTTCGAGTCCTACTTGATTAATTACCATGTTACTGGTTGACTCTAGGAAGCGGATTCGAAAGTGATTAATATAAGCTGCAACAACTTGTTTCAATAAGTGTGTTTTAAAGTAAATTCACAAAAACAAAATATAAATGCATTAGCATAAGTTGAAGGTTTGAAGAGCTGACAGACTTGAAAATCTGTTGCTATGAATTTATTGAACCTGATTTGTTACAAAGGCAAGTAAAGTTTATGGTACATGATATTAAAAATGTTTCTGCTACAGTTTTTATCCTACGTTTTAAAACAAATATATATTTACTAAATGGGGAAAAAGCAAATGGTCAAACCTACTTTTTTAAACGACTAACATAATCAAAGATACGTTTAGGATGCGAGATATAAAATGTGCGTGTAAATCTATTTATAGAATAATTCAAAATTGTCTTACCAGGAACGCCCCATGACACCACGTGATACGTCACGGTTGCTTGCTTGCTCGACAGTTTATGAGCCCAGCTCGGTCTTAATACTTGCACTTGAAAATATATGGCGATAAAAACTGTCCAGAAAAACGAACTACATGGTGCAAAGGAAACTACGACGCTCTGAAAAAGGCACACTTGCGTTTCTTTTTGATATTTTTTATCGGTGAACTCCAGTAACATGTATCTCACTATTCCAATTATGATCCCAAGCACATGTATTAGATTAGCTATGGTCAAGAAAATTAAAAGTTTTCTAATATAGTTCCGAATAGTAACAATGGCGACGTAGAATACAAAAATGCAAAATATTCCGATCAATGACAGACAGCAACTCGCGATGCTTAGGACAAGCACATAAGTAGGAGCCACATATTTTGATGGACTTAAAGGGACAACAGAGCTGTTATCAAAATACGAAGATGTGTAGAAATCTAGCGTAGCCATGTTTAAATAGTTATATATGTTTTATCTGAACAAATGTATATAATTCCTTTATCTATTCTATGACGCAAATAGTTTGTTTATTATTATGTTGATTCCTTTTTGATCTGAAAACCAATATACTTGTATAATCCACGAATGTCATAAAATACTCCTTTTTCAATGTGAAAACTTAGTTATAATTATATGTATAAGACACATGTTTGTTGTTAAATAATGGCCAACTGCTCGTTTCAGTTTCGTTGCTTAGCAAAACAATTGCTTTAACATATATAGTACTTTTCCGTGAAATCTTTAACATCCCGATCTTCAAGTTACTGAATCTCTTAGCAGTCAAAAATAATGATGAAAAATAGAATAGTTACTATATGTGTACATATTGAACAATTGAATCCAATGGTCATATCCTGTGGTATAAAAATGTATACGGAAACAAATTCGTGTATGAATCGCATACAATGATATGACAGTGAAGACAAATTAGATTTACACCACTAAAATGACATATCACAATCTTTTCCCAGGCCCGTCGTCACAATTGTGTGATTCGTGCGGCCAATTGAGTTGGTTGTAGGGGAGTAATTTCCTGTTCCTCCTTTTCTTCATCATCATTCTCCTTCTTCTTCTTCTTCTTTGTCGTATTTATTTACGAGATACTTCCTTCTTAATTAAAATAGCAACCTTTTAAACATATATCTTAAAGTATTTATACTTGTACCTGTTAATTTGTACGAATTGATAATTGTTTGATGTCTATCATGTTCACCATCCCGGATGGGTTTTTTTTAAGTCCGTACGTATTTATATCAATTTTTGCAGAAATTGTCTGACATTATGTGCTTGTTTAGATTCATTCTGTGATTCATTTGGAAAAGAAAAATGGTCCTTATGAAATCTTAATTGCCTTCTAAAGGTGTACATATAGGACAGACTGGGAACGGAAGGACAAACTGACTAACAAACGGACACAGTCAGAGAGTTACTGTAACAAATATGATATTGCGTTGCGTGGTGGTCTATGTGGAAGGATCTCTACAGAATAGGGTGTGGTAGCGAATAAATCTGTTAGCATACTATTTTTTTAAGAAACAATATAAAATAAACTTTTGGTCCACTGATTATAAATTTGTAACAATATAAAAGTGCATTCAAGATCACGTCCAATTATGTGAAACAGGAAGATACACTTGACAAATAATTTACGGAATCCGGTTCTTGCCATTTAATTGTGAATGTCGACGTATGACAAATGAAGCGCAGCATATAAGTAACAACACACGACACGACAATGTGTCATATAAGCGTCGCGAGTTTACGCCATGTGTCGTATAGTGTTTTGCTACAAATATCACGTGTATTATTGAACTCATTTCGGTTATTTTTTAAAGAACAGATAACTCAAAATCAAGCGTACCATTTTATTTAAAATTATTTATTTGTAATTCATTTTATGTTTTACGCAAATGTAAAAAAAGTCTGTCAAGACATTTCGCTTTTGTTTCAATTGGTAAACATGGATGAAACTGGATGAAAATTTCTATTATTCCGCAATGAACAGCAACAAAACAATAAAACCTGCCGTATTTCTACAGGTGTCATATTTTTCCAAATCCTGGGAAATGTTAGCCGTGAAAATAAATTAAATACTTCATTAAATTACAAATTTCATATTTGTTTGTGTAATTCTGAAAGTGAGAAAAACATCAGCAAAACCTTTATAAGACATTGATTAATTGTATCAGAAAGAATGTAAAAAATAAGAGATTGCAAAGTAACACTTGATTCAGAAAATTAGCTTTGAAATACAAAATTTAAAGTCTTAGTGACTCCAAAGGAGAATAAACAACAACTGTATTCATATCAAATAAGCATTAACAGAAATGCAGTAACACGAAAAAGCCAATTTTGCAATTGCTCAAATAATCATATCATACGATAGGAGTGGTTTACTTTTTTTAATCGAGCTATGAACAAGGAAAAAAGCGCTTATATAATGAATAAATACAAAAGAAATATTTGATTCACTTAGAAATCTTTTGTACTAAGCCATAAATATTTGCATATTAACATCAAACTGCCGCCGTTTCATTGATAAACCTTTGCGTTATTTTATAAATGGCTTTTGTAGCCCAAATTTGATTTCTATTTTAATATGATACTAAGCAAAACAACACAAATCAGAGATCAGTTATTATACTTTAGGCAAACGTTTATATGTAACTATTCATTAGGAGTAATTCCTAAGTCTTTTGGGCGCCGCTTTTTATAGTATGGCACTTTCGGTTCAAATTGAAGATTTTATGATAAATTAATAAATGATTTTGCAGCATTTATCACCAAATTTCTATTGTTTGATTTACGCAGTAAGGGATATTTTGCATAATTTCACCTGTTTGTTTGTGATTGTCGTAGTGCTTTAAGTGCTGTTTGCAAAGTATACATCACTTTATTTGCACATTCATTAAATTTTTACCAAATGGCTATTTTAATACATTTAAAATATTTCATGAAAATTAGCATAAATCTGGGGGCGTACTGCTTTAACCATTAACGACAGATTAATCCGTTATCAAGAAAGTTGAAAAGTTATTAAATTGTTTGTTTGTTTGTTTGTTTGTTTCAGTTTACGCCTTTTCCCAACAGTATTTAAGTCATATAGGCGGGTAGTTTCCTAACCATCGTTCCTGGAGAGTTACACCAGTACTTGACTATCTTCTCCCGTGCTAATCTACCAAAGCATCTCCCGGGATCGAACCCACGCCAGACAGGTAACTGGATTAGAAGTCATCGACTCTAACCCGTAGACCACGTAGGCGGTAAATTATTAAACTAAAGATGTTTATGAATAAATTGGTGTTTGGTGTTTTATAGTAAGAACACAATCTTCATTATTTTCATTGGTTTACCAACATGAAAGAGTAAACTCTCAAAGGGATAGAAATGACAAAATGCAAATTACATCCGGAAATTTAATGTGACAAACTAATTAACAAAACAATTTTCTAGGAAATAGAATACTGATGTGTGAAGATAATTATCAAACTGGCAGATGCCACTACATATAAATTACAATATTCTTTATGCGAGTTGTATGATTTGTAATTCTGTTAGTCTTCATGCCAGATTACCAGTTGTATGATTTGTGCTTATAAAATGACGTTCATGCATTTAATTCATGAAGCAACTAAATCAAAATCGAAATTTACAACCAAATATTGTTTTTTTGTTTCCAAATCAATGTGTATAAAATATCAACGTGAACGTAGAAGAATAAAGTAGATTTTGTGAACTTATGATAATAATAAAGGAGGTTTTCTTGTTTTATAATTCCAGTTTCTCGCAAAATTGTTAAATGGACGTTAAATAATGTTGTTTTTTGTTTTTGTTTTAATTTATATACTTTAAAATTAAGTATATGACTACTACTATATGCAGGGAATGAATCGATTTTTAATAAAACAACTGTCACTGATATTGATACATCTTTTATTGTATTTTACTGATATCATTATTTAGGTGGTTTGTTTGCAATTGTTTGATGTTGTTTTTTTTTCGGTAATTCGAACCCATTTAATCGCCTCGCCCGATCACGCAGGGGTAAACGATGTCTGCAATTCTGGTGCTTCAATCCTTACCCTTACCCTAGGCAACCGCTCCGCCACAAAGGGAACACTATTTAGTAACGCGAGAGGAGAAGAGTATAATTGAAGTGAACTTATTGCTTCAGCTATAATAACATTATTTAATTATCTTAATTAAGGAGAACGCTGCTTTTATTAAATTAATGTTAAATGTTTGCTGTACATGCCATAAATTGTACAATAAACCTCTCTAACTCTAGAGTGTTTCTAGGCAACTATGTAAATCACTAACTCTTGCCATTATCTTAGTGTTGAAGAATGCTTAAAATGCTTTACGTTAGATTATTCAATTACATCAAACTTGTGAGAGGATGTATATGTTTTTTATTATTTAGCTTTCAAACGAAAACGTTCATTTAAACAATTGATCACGGACAAATAATATTTAAATATCTTGATGAAGTTCTGTTATATTTGAAGATGAACCCTGGTGTCTTTAGACAAGCTGCTTTACTAGTAAATATACCTTTAAAGTGAGTTTTACCTTCCAGTATTGTCAGTTAAAGAAGTAAACTATAGACATATATAGATATGTTCTATGTTTAGAATAGAGTCAAGTATTTGTAGCTAAGTAATGAAACAACGATCGAAACAAATTTGTTTGTCTTCTTCTACAACTTTTCAGATTCCTTAACCTTCTCTTCGGTCCATTTTCCGTGTTTAAATAATTTTGGTGTAAGATTGGTCATATGATGATAAATGGTCATTGGGTACATTAGTGCTTGAAGAAAGGCACTTTCAACCACTGCGTTTCCACTCCTACCGCACACACACAGCAGAGAAGATCAAAGTGATGAACAGATGTATACAGATGACAGATCTGTTGATGACGTGGTACGAGATGATAGATTTATAGTTGTTCATTGTTCTGAGAACAATTATTCTGTAGCTTCAACATGAAATTGGTAATAAATGTTCAGTGTCATCCTGCTTTTGTATTATATTTCATGTTTTAAGTTTTCATTTTTTCCCAATAATTGTCATACATTTAGATATAGTTGAAGTTAATGGGTTTACTGTCTAACTATATTATGATTTCACATAGTACGGACGGTGCCTTGCACATCTTAATACGGCTCTTAAACATGCCTTATCAAACTAATCCTGCAATATTTTCAAATGTGTTGTTTTGGACGCTCTTTATGGATTATTTTTCTTTTCACACTTGTACGAAATACAGACACAAACTGTTGTTAAAAGGTGTCAATGAATTTATTGGTTAACATTTTCATGTTATTGTGAGAGTCTTTAGTCATCTAAGAAATGTATACTTTTCACATGACAGACAGCTAATGTATGCTTCAAAATATATTTAAAATGTAAGGGACAAGGCATTGATACTCACGAAACAGTTATAGAAATAATTTTCAAAAATAAACTATAATCAATATCTGCTGAAACAAAAGAAAAATAAATTAAACGAAGATTGTTTCAGTAGCAGACAACTGCGCCTAAAATGCCAAATTAGACAATTATATACATTTGTTAACTTCAGCATAGGCATTTACTGTGCAGTAACGTATTTTGAATAATGACAAACTCGACAACAGAGAGAACAGTTATAAAAGTTACAGTCTTTTTTTTTCAGATAAGTTTATAGTATGGTAGAACATCCCACGATTGTTTCCTTTAAATACACATAATATTCGACATGAAATCGTTGTAATAAATGGCCATGAAAGACATGAAATTGTATGATAAAACATGTCTGCCGTTATGTTTGTAATGATTCTGTTGAAGCTAAACCATTGTTTACAAAATCCTCTCTTCTGGTCGCCACGTCGTCATCGCTGACATTGTTTATATTATTGCCACAGTAATGTAGTCTGATAGATTTGTCAAAAACACAAAGGAAAATAAAGTTTCCGAACGCTTGTGCCGTGTCACCAAACGCTTGCCATACCATCATAGCTCTATCTGTATTTACCATTACGTTATCTGGAATAGGTGCAACACATTTGGTAATCACAATATATAGGGTAAAAAAGTAGACTTTAACATTTGGATTTTTAAATCCGTTAAGTTTATATATAATATCTGAACTTGTTTTCAATTGTTCGAATAAATTGTAATAAATTATAAGTTAAGTATAGTTTGATATACAAATAGATGTATGCGTTTTTTTTTTGATTTTTATGCAATAAGAAATATACCTGTTGGTTCTTTGATTATATGCATCAAGAATCGGAAGGTTCCTCCAAAACGAAGAACATAGAATATGAGCCAGACATATACAAAATTCTTATCTTCCGGTCGTAGACCTTTGGACACATTAACTTGTGTACTCTGTCCGAATAACTCGGCAAACGGTGTCCGTCTTTTTTTCATGCATGTCTGTTAAACATTTACAAACCAGAAAGCACATTGTATTGTCAATTATTAATGATAAATATACTACTAATATTTTCCTTGCAATTTGACAATTGATCAAAAGGAGAAAATATGTCTAGGTCACTGATTTGTACTTTGCTTCTAGTACGTGTTATACGAATTACACAATTAAAAATTATACATTAGGTCTTCATTAAAACATTTCTAATGGTAAGGTATGTATCAATCGCAACTTTTCGACCCTTTCCGTCAGTCTTCAGATAAGGACCTCAAACATAATAGTAAGAATACACAAAACCGATCCTGTATTTCGGTCTTACATACGCTAAGAAACTAAACATGTAAACAGAAAGTGATTTAATGCTTGGATTTGTTGATTATTCCAATACATCTAGTTAAAGTTCAAATTAATTAAGTTAATTTATAGATATAAAAGTAAACAGTACATTATTTATATACTTGTTAATTAATATTATGGTTGTAGAAACCGAAAGTACAAAATGTCTACCGGTTGACACGAATTCGTATTTGTTTATAATTCAACATCAGTGGGCATTTTAAAATTAGTTATGATTGTCAGACATATTTCCAATTATAACTTTAACGAAAAAAGAATAAAATATTTTCCTATTTGTGTCAAATATATACATACGTTATACATTATCATTATTCAAGATTACTCGCTTTGTTTTTGGTTACATCAAAAACCACGTGGTAGAACTACTTTAAATCCGTTTTTAGTTCGGGGTTTTCATAAATAAAAGCCGAGGACGTTCCGATTGGGTATTTATATGCAACTAAGGAACAATAAAGGACAAAGGATTATACAATTAGCTGGACTTAGTACAAGGTCGTCATATAGTTGTCTTTAAAATATCATCCCAATCAGCTTTAAGTGGCATAAGAAAAGAATGTAACGCCAAGTTTCAGCAAGATAAATGGTGTACTTCAGAAAAAGATGTATAAAAGAAGTACGCTTAAAATAGGGCACAATTCATACGCCACTAAAAATAAATCATTTCATTATTTAACATAAAATTGCTTGGCGTTTATGTCTTGTACGAAAACGCCAATTTATTCGTCATTTTATAATACTTACGGGTAATATATACTTTTTATAGACGACATAAACCAGCACTTCGGCTAAGATGATATAGGAAAGAATTTCCCATCCTTTCAGTGTCAGAAACATCCACAGTATGGCCGTTTTTCTCGGTAAGTTTGTCCTAATCCAGCACCAAGGTCCTGTGAAGATGTCCTCGGTGTCACCAAATACGTCATAGTACAAGCCCAGTACACATATGATACCTTTATGAAAATGAAATCAACATATAACTAACTATATGTTGTTACAAAAATTTACTCTTTAAGATAAAACACTAATCATCAGATCGTGAACTTCCGGTACAATTCGTATGTTTCCGAGTTCCAGAAAGAACAAATGTGCTCTGAGCGGTTTTGTCAGAGCACTTACTGATACTATCAAGTCATTGACATCATAGATGCATAATACATAATTTAACGAAGCTTACTGAATATTTACGAGTCAATATATATATTGTAAGGTGTACTTGAGTAAGGTTGTTAACTATATTTGCTCTACCTTTAGACATTTGGTCAATTTTAGCAATTTGACCTTGAAGCGTTTTTGTTTTAACAAAAAGCTGAACTAGTTGTAGAATTAAGATTCATACTGTAAAAACTTTTTAATGTGCGACGGGAAAGTAAACTGATAGATGTCTATTTTGACCTTTTATTTGAGAATAACAATAAATTTAACCACAAACATTGACGTGTGCTCTTTTGTTAACAAATAGGCTGTGGTAAACACTAATCTGATAATTTGAATTAGGGATATATACCTTATCGTTTATAAAACTGTTTTGGTTAACCTTGTCAGTCATCTTTGACAACAAAATTAATAGTTTAAATATAAATATCATATGACAGTGAAATAATAAGTTTCACATTTATTTGAAGTAGTAAATTACTTGTCAAAGGTGACTGATAAAGATAACAGAATATATACAGCGTGATAAAATGTTTATAGTGTCATGTTAATTTGGTGAAGGTTAGATTTGAGAACACTGAAATAACATCTGCAAAAAAATTTGTTGGGAATATGTAGTAATTGAAAAGGTTTTGTGGGTTTATCTAAAATTTTACTTCACAACTTTATTTTCTTTAACTATTTATGATAAACATCGTCGTCATCATCAGCAGCAGCAACATCAGTATGATCATTATTAAATTTCATATAGGAGGCAGTACACAGTTTCGGTCGTTTAGTTTCGAATTGGCCAGGGTGGAATTTACAAATAAGAGACAGTTTTGAAATTGAAGTGGATATTTGAGGTTCTAAATGTTTATAGTTACTATATTTCAAGTTTCAATGACTAGTATTGTGTTTCAGTTATTTAGTAAAATTTAATTTAGTGGCGTTAACCCTTGCTTTTTGAGAGAGCACCTGTCAGATGCGAACATGTGGTTTTTGGAGCTAGGCGGTGAATCAGCTCTTCAATTTAAAGGGTATGCAGAAGACTTAAAATAGTGAAAAAAGTAGGTGCATGACTCCCCGTTTGGATGTTGTTTTTCAGATTGTGCATTGTTTAAATGAGGAAGAATCACTATAGCTTGTGATTTAATCTTTTGACGTTAATATCTTGTTGTATTTTGCGAATAGAGGTAATCCGCTCTTTTTGTCGTTGATTTTCGCGACCAAAACAATGAAAAACACAGGGCTGTGTGCCAGAAAACTAGAAGGTGGACATGTATTTTTAATTGTTTGCTGTGAGATACATATGTATATGTTAAATATGAAATGCATTTATTCCAGGTGTGTGATTACAGACTTGTGTGTGAGGTTTTGATTGTGGCGCAGTCAGTTGTTTGCCGAGAAGCCTTGAAAACTGTGTATTACCCCCATATTGTTGATTATTTGTTGTTGTTGGCATTTTTATTGTTGTTGTTGTTTGTTTTGTTTGGTTTTTTGGGGGGGCTGGGGGTGACGAGTGTTCATGGTTTTGGGGGTTCGATCTTTTTCCCTTGCAAGCCGCATAGTCATATCTGTTATGGAATTAAAAGTTATGTAAAAATAATAATTTACCTGGTATACCCCATGACATCACATGATACGTAACGGTTGCACGATTGTTAGACATGTTATCAACCCATCTCGGTTTCAGTACTTGGACCTGAATATAAACCGCTATTAAAACAGTCCAGAAAAAAGAACTACGCAGGGAAAATGATGTTATAAAACTCTGAAATGTGCAACTTTGTTTTTCATGTTGATAGTCAACATCTGTGTACACCAGGAGCATGTATCTTGCAATTCCAATTACTATCCCAATTACATCCAACAAATTAGCAATGGTCAAAAACAGTAATAGTTTTCGGATATAATTCCGGACATTTGCGATGGCATAATAAGATATAAATATGCTAATTATTCCAATGAAAGACAGCAAACAACTTAAGGTAGTACACCCCTAATGGGCACTATAAGGAATTGTAAATTTGACAACATAGGACAGTTATATGCCTTAAATGTCACCTGTATGCAAAATTTAAACAAAATTTACCGTGTGGTTTATGAGTTATGGACATTTTTATGAACTAAAACTTTGCTATTTGAAGGGATTTTTTCAGAAATGAGGAAACTCTAAATAATCTATAATATCATCATTATGAAAAATGTTTTCCTTTTGCTTATTGTTAAGAAATAAACAATGACATATAGGTAACAAATTAAACAAGCAAAATGATTGTTTTTAAACGAAATGTTTTAAATATGTATAAAAATGTAACCCTACCCCACCCAATTTTAACACTAATTTGACCATTTCCCTATGTAAAAAGCCTTATTCAAAATATCCCTAAAATTTTCCAAAATGAGGGGCTATTTTTAAAGTTTGCCTAAATTTTCTTTAATGTATATTGGTTGGTCTTGCAAAATATAAAATACTTTTACCGTTTAGTTTTTATTTTATTAAACTTTGAAAATATCTGGTATCATATTTGCTATTAAAATTTGGCATTATTTAGTAAATAAATACCTACAATAATTATATAATTAAAATAAAACACTTTTTTCTTCCATAGGGGGTCTAAGAGATTAATAAAAAATGTTAAAAAGAAAAAAAAGAAAGAAAAAAAATTGCCCCTTCTGGGGTTTGAACCCACGCCCCCTCAGTTTCAATACACTTTACAGTGATTTTAGCCTATTTGAATACTCTTCAAAGTGGAGACAGTGCATTAGGGGTGTACTACCTTAATATGGCGACAACAATAACGTAAATCGGCACCGAGTGCGTTGAGGGACGTATTCTCGCTGCCGTAACGTTGTTATACGTTGACGTCTCCATATCTACTAATATATCTTATAAGTTTCACTTATATTCAAATAAAGACAAATTGAGTAGAATTTATTTTAACTGAAACTGTGAACTTTTTTAAATTAGATGAGATACATCTTTTTTGACGTAACAAATGAATTATTGATGAAATGATAATGTTGATATGTCAACATAAGCGGTAGAATTGTCCCACCTGCACCGTATGTTGGTACTTCATTTCAAGCCTTTAAAACTGTAGCAATTTCAAATTTATTCATTGATATTTATCAAAACGCAATGCTAGCAGTTTTAACGGAGTTTCCTTATGACAGTCATTTAAATATGTAAAGTGTACTTTGTCGCATAAATTATTTACATAGTTATATTAATTTCTCCGAAAGTAAAAAACTAATTATTTAATTTATCCAAACTTTTGTTACTATTTATATACATCATATAAATACTGTATTAGAAACAACTTTTTCTTTTTAACTCAGTAAACACGTATAAACACATAACATGCATAGCGTTAATTGATACAAGTTTTAATACATAGTTATATTAGTTTAAATTATGTTCGTTTTATCGTTATTATCAATTACATACATGCGTCATTATCATTATTATCAAATATTATTTTTAACGTCGATTAAAATTTCGGACACTTTGTGAATTATCGTTTATGTTTCAAGTGATTTTAAACAGTAGAATAAATATTGTAATTTCTTTAAGGTAGATTTAATGTAATGCTTTCCCGCCAAAAAATTCTGATATTGGCGAATATTGTAGAAAATAGGTTTTCCGTTTCCGGTAGTAAACAAAATAGAAGCCCGCAAATTTTACTGGGCGTTAACAAACAAATATTGTCAATATCTGCTACCACTCTTCTAATCCATCTTATAGGGGTAAGGTTATAAATACGTGAAATCGTAGAAGATGGCCGAGAGCTCAAAATACACGATATCGACCAAATGTACAAGTATGAATTGGTAGACTCATTGTTTTCTAATGACATTAATAAATTAATGTACACTTTGATACATTTGATACATTGAAACACTTATTTATATTCTAATGACATTTATACATTTTTTTACTTTCTAACAACTTTATGCATTTAAGATTTTATAATGGTTTGAATGAATTTAAGATTTCTACTGACATTAATACAGTTAGATCTATTTTCTAAAGACATGAGCTTTTTAAACATTAGCAAATTGAGATGACTTACAAAATACAATACTGGATTTAAAACACAATGTTTAAGTCGTTATAATAAATCAAGTACAAATATGTTTATTTAAACAGTTCCCTTTTTTAAACGGGAAGGGGTTTTCAACCTTTTTTATTGATAGGGTAATGCATTACTACGATATTCAACATAGACTGGAAAAGTTGTTATAATACTTTTACATATGATCATTTTGTTTATTTTCATATATTCTGTTTAAACTTTTGACAAACGTTGTTAACATGCAATGTACGCACTGATTAAACCTTAAGATGTCTTTAGTTCAACTACATTATTAAACGTTTGAGCTTTTTAAATTATTTAATTGTTTTGTTTGTGAAGAAGCAAATCATTTTTCATGTACCATTGGCGACTTGTCATTATCGTCGAGAAATGAATTACACAGTGTCATGTTTTTCATGTCGATCCTGGTGATATAGATGCTAGACTCTTATAAGATATAAAAGTAAATGAATGTAAGTACATGCAATATGCAACGACGACGTATTTGAAATCACCAAAAATAACACATTTCAAATTATATCACCAAGAATGAAATGAGCTTTTAATTGCATTGCCAAATTATTCAAAGATAGACAAAGTAATATTTGTGAAGATATATTGTGTCGAGGTCATTTTTGTCTGCCAGAAATATTCTTTAAAAAAACGACTTGTTTCATTAAAACAATTATTAAAACAGTTATTTATGATATTGTATTCCATAATGATGTGAAATAGTTTTACCTTGACATACTGTGAAAATAAAAAAAAAGATCGGCATTCATTTAAAAACACTAACTAAACTTGTTGTATGAAAAGAGTTTCAATATGTCAAGAACATATTTTAGATGCGAGATGCGGATAACATATTTTCACATTTGCAATAAAGGAGCATATGTGGGAATAATTTCCTGAAACTTTGCAAGATTAAAGGATAACATAAAAGAAGCAAATGTGAGATCACCATCCTACTTGTTAAGACATTTGCCATTGTATGCTCATTGAATGCCACCCTTCCTTGTTGATCTTGTTTTATATATTTTGCACTAGTTTAGGGTAGATTACTCAATATCAAGCATACCATTTTATTTCAAATTATTATTTGATATTTTATTTTAGTCATTGCGCAAAGATAAAAGGAATCTATCAAGACATTTTGCTATGCTTCTATTAGTAAACATATTGCAATTCCTACAAAACATGGGATGACCTTTTCTATAGTTCCACAATGAACAAAAACAGTAGGGTAAAATCTGTCGTATTCCTACATATGTAGTATAATTGTGTGTGTAATTCTGAAAGTGAGAAAACCAAGAGCAAAATATTTACAAGACATTGATTAATTGTATCAGGAAGAATGTAAAACATAAAATATTGCAAAGTGTCACGTGATTCATAAATATAGCTTTAAAATGTAAATTGCAAAGTCTTGGTGACTCCAAAGGAAAATAAACAACAACTGCATTATTATCAAATTAGCATTAACAGAAATAAAATAACACTTAACAATAAGCTAATTTTGCAATTGCTCAAAGAATCATATAGGAGTGATTGCATATTACTAGTAACATCAAACTGCTGCCGTTTCGTTGATAAATCGTTGCGTCCTTTTAATAAACTATTATAGCTCTTATATCCCGATATTGATTTTTATAATAAATAGACATTAACCAAAAATAGCACAAATCAGACGATTATAGATAACTCTTCATTAAGAGTAACTCCTGAGGCTATTGGGCACCCACATACACCGCTTTTCATATGATGGCACTTTCGTGTCAAATTGAAGGTTCCATGATAAATTAATGACTAATGTTGGATTTTATCACCATATTTCTTCTGTTTGATTTACGCAGTGAGGCTAGTTTTGATAAACTTACCTATCTGTTTGTGATTGTCGTAGATTTTAAGTGTTGTTTGCAATGTATACATCATTTTGTATGCTCATTTGACCAAATATCTCTTTTTAATACATTTAAAATATTTCATGAAAATTAGCATTAATCTGCTTTAACGACAGATTAATCCATTGTCAAGAAAGTTCAAAAGTTATTAAATACTGAACTGTACTGTCAGTAAAGATGTTTATCAATAAGTTGGTGTTGTGTGTTTTATAGTAAGAACAATCTTCATTATTCTTTTTGGTTTACCAACATGAAAGAGGAAACTCTCAAAGGGATAGAAATGACAAAATGCAAATTACATCCGGAAATTTGATGTGACAAACTAATTAACAAAACAGTTTTCTGGGAAATATAATAAAGATGTGTGGAGATAATTATCAAACTGGCAGATGCCACTACATATATATATATTACAATATTCCTTATGCCAGACCATCAGTTGTATGATTTGCTCTTTATATTCTTTATGCCATATCATCAGTTGTATGATTTGTTTTTTTTTATATTATTTTGCCAGATTGATATTTGTATGATTTGTGGTTTTAAATTATTTATGCAAGATCATCAGTTGTGTGATTTCACTGATTTTTGCTTTCATATTATTTATGCCAGATCATCAGTTGTATGACTTGTGCTTCATAAAACTTATGAATCGACTTACATGCATTTGATTCATATCACAACTCAATCAACAACAAAATTTACAACAAAATATTGTTGTTTTTTTTTTTCAAATCAATTTGTGTATAAAATATCAAGGTGAATATAAAATAACATAGTAGATCTTTTGAACTTATGTTAATAATTATGTAGTTATACTTATAAAGAAATCATTTAAAGGATTAATTCTGATCTCTGTTTTCTTTTTTTTTGTCTATTTATCTCCCTTTCCCCCATGTCGAGAAATTATTTAAATTTGATACAGGCATTGCATTTCACACTTGACATGTTCAGCTCATCTTTATGACCCTTTACACATTAAGTCATAAGTACTAGGTATTTATTATCTTCTTGTGATGGAAGGAATTTAATGTAGGTACAATGAACTTTGCTATGTCATGTTGTTACTAAAATAAATTGTAGATATGTTTTTTACAGGAGAGAGTTTCATATAAGCTCCAAGTTTTCTACTCAATCCTGAATGTTATTTATATATTGTAATCTTGTCTGTAAATATTGATTAAGAAATAAATATTGTTTAAACCAATAATTAAGTAGTTGATATCACCCCATATTTTGGAGGTTTTACATAATTCCAATATCTCCCAAAATTGTTTAAATGGACTGTTGTTTTTGTTTTCGTTAAAATTAACAAGAAGTATTTGACTAGACGAATAAATCAAATTCTTTGATACAACAACTGTCACTAATATATATTATTTATCTTACTGATATCACTATTTAGTTGGTTTGTTTGGTTTGGTTTGTCCAGTAATTCGAACCCATTTAGTCGCCTCGTACGAGCACGCAGGGATAAACGGTGCCTCAATCTTTACTAGGCTAACCCTCAGCCACGACGGGTCACTATTTAGCAAAACGGACAATGAGGAGAATAGTATGATTTAAGTGAATGTTTTGTTTCACCTTTAACATTATTTCAATTATCTTAATTAAGGAGAACACTCCTTTGTTTAATTAAGGTTCTATATTTGCTGTACATGCCATAATTTGTGCAATAAACTTCTCTAACTCATTCTGTTTCCAGGCAACTATGTAAATCAATGTTTTTATTATCTAAGTGTTGAAGAATGCTTAAAAAGATTTACGTTCGATTATTGCAATTACATCAAACTTGTGAGAGGATTACATGTGACTTATTTGTCTATTATACTCGTATTGCATTCAAACGAAAAACGTTTATTTTAACAATTGATTACGGACAAATAGTATTTAAATATCTTGATGAAGTTCTGTTATATTTGAAGATGAACTCTGGTGTCTTTAGACAAGCTTCTTTACTAGTACATATACCTTTAAAGTGAATTTAACCTTTCAGTATTAAATTCACCTTTCAGTATTGTCAGTTGAAAAAGTAAACTATAGACATATATAGATATGTTCTATGTTTAGAATAGAGCCAAGTGTATTTGTAGCTAAGTAATGAAACGACGCTCGAAACAAATTTGTTTGTCTTCTTCTACAACTTTTCAGATTATCAAACCTTCTCTTCGGTCCACAATCCGGATGTAAATAATTTTGGTGTCCCAAGATTGGTCATAATTATGATGATAAATGGTCATTGGGTACATTAGTGCTTGAAGAAAGGCACCTTTATCCACTGCGTTTCCACTCCTACCGCACACGCACAGCAGAGAAGATCAAAGTGATGAATAGATGTATACAGATGACAGATCCGTTGCTGACATGGTACGAGATGATATATTTATATTTGCTCATTGTTCTGGGAACAATTATTTCTATAGCTGCTACATGAAATTGGTAATATTCAATGTCATCCTGCTTTTGTATTATATTTCGTGTTTTAAGTTTTCATTTTTCCCAATAATTGTCATACATTTAGATATAGTTGAAGTATATTGGGTTTACTGTCTTACTATATTATGATTTCACATTGTATAGACATAAAAACATTCAAGACATTAGATTGCTATCACAGTTCACGGTGGCTGAGCGAATTGCTATGACAAGCCGTTTTAACCTTGAGCAAGAAACTTTACTCTCATTGCTTAGTACTGGTTGATGTTAGGATCGAGTTCGAGAGTGTGTCTTTAAGCTTATAGCTTGCAACACAATCATACTACAACATATTACATAGAAAGAGCTGTCTTCTTGGGGCGCGGACGGTGCCTTGTACATCTTAATACGGTTCTTAAACATCCTTTATCAAACCGATCCTGCAACATTTTCAAATTTGTTGTTTTGGACTTTGACTTTCTTTAGGGATTATTTTTTCTCTTTTCACCCTTGTACGAAATACAGACACACACTGTTGTAAAAGGTGTCAATGAATTTATATGTTAACATTTTCATGTTATTGTGAGAGTGCATGCTTCAAAATATATTTAAAATGTAAGATACTCACGAAACTGTGACAGTAAAATTTTTCAAAAATAAACTGTAATCAATATCTGCTAATTCATAAGAAAAAAATGAAATAAAAGAATATCGTTCAGTAACAGTCAACTGCGCCTAAAATGCCAAAATGGACAATTATATACATTTTTAACTGCAGGATAGGCATTAACTGTGCAGTAATTTGAATAATGACAAACTCGGCAACGTAGATAACAGTTATAAAGCACAAAAGTGTGAAAGTAACAGTCCTTTTTAGATTAGTTTAAAGTATGATACAGCATTTCACGATTGTTTTCTTTAAATACACTTAATATTCGACATGAAATCGTTGTAATAAAGGGCCATGAAAGACATGAAATTGTATGATAAAACATGTCTGCCGTTATGCTTGCAATGATTCTGTTGAAGTAAAACCACTGTTTACATAATCCTCTCTTCTGGCCGCCACGTGGTCATCGCTTACATTGTTTATATTATTGCCACAGTAATGTTGTCTGATAGATTTGTCAAAAACACAAAGGAAAATAAAGTTTCCGAACGCTTGTGCCGTGTCACCAAACGCTTGCCATACCATCATAGCTCTGTCTGTAATTGTCATAACGCCATCTGGAATAGGTCCAACACTTTTGGTAATCACAATATATATAGGGTAAAAAGTAGACTTAAACTTTTGGATTTTTAAGACTTTTTCGTTAATACGGTACACATTTATCTGTTATTGAAACTTAATATATAATACATGTATATGAACCTGTTATCAATTGTTCGAATAAATTGTAGTAAATTATAAGTTTAGTATAGTTTGATATACACATATGATGTGTTTTTTGGATTTTTATGTAATAACAAATGTACCTGTTGGTTCTTTGATTATATGCATCAAGAATCGGAAGGTTCCTCCAAAACGAAGAACATAGAATATGAGCCAGACATATACAAAATTCTTATCTTCCGGTCGTAGACCTTTGGACACATTTACTTGTGTACTCTGTCCGAATAACTCGGCAAACGGTGTCCGTCTTTTCTTCATGCATGTCTGTTAAATATATTCAAACCAGAAAGTACTTTGTATGTTTCATATGTCACGGTTCAGAACTGTTTACTATTTAGAGGAGAAATTGTCTAAGCGGCCCGATAGCTCAGTCGGTAAAGCCGAGGTGCGGTTTTCCGAGGATCCTGGATTCGAGTAGCGGCCAGGCACAGTTTTTCCCACCCTGTGGCACAGAGTCCGACATTTTTCTCCAATTAATAGTGTCATGACACATAATTAATGATAAATATATTATATTTAAGTATAATATTTATTGACAATTGGCGAGAAAGTCTTGATAAAGACTTGAGAAAGCTTGTCAAGGTTAATTAATGTACAACATAAATCCCTTCTTTGACTCTATAACGTGTTAAAATACCCTTTTGTAAAATATAATTAATTTACATTAAATCTTTATTTACATATTTCTAATGGGTAAGTATGTATATGCCACTGAAGCAGACTTTAGAACATAGAGATCTGTACAAAATATGATACACAAGATCAACAAGAAAAGGCGGCGTTCAATGAACGCAACCCCCACATGACCCAACAAGAACTAGCGGCAAGGAGCTCAGGAGAAATATAAAAATTAAATTGCTTATGATGGTTTGGCGTTTATGTCTGGTACGAAGAAACGCCAACGATTTGCAGGTAATCATTTATGTTATCCTGTAGGAAAGTAACATACATTTATCCTAGAAAATAATCAAACTTTTCTTATACTTACGGGTAATATATACTTTTTATAAACGACATAAACCAGCACTTCGGCTAAGATGATATAGGATAGAATTTCCCATCCTTTCACTGTCAGAAACATCCAGAGTATGGCCGTTTTTCTCGGTAAGTTTGAGTTTGTCTTAATCCAACACCAAGGTCCTGTGAATATGTCGTCGGTGTCACCAAATACGTTATAGTACAAACCAACTACACATGTGATACCTTCATGAAAATAGAGTCATCATAACTATGTTGTTACAAACATTTACTCTTTCAGATAACACATTTATCATCAAGGTGCAATTCGTAAGTTTCCGAGTTCTAGACATATCAAATAAGCAATAAGCTCTGTGCGGTTTTGTCAGAGCAATAAATGATAGGCCTACTTTCAAGTCATTGCCATTTAATTTGTTTGTTTGTTTGTTTGCTTCATTTTACGCCTTTTTCAACAGTATTTCAGTCATATAGGCGGGTAGTTTCCTAACCATCGTTCCTGGAGAGTTACACCAGTACTAGACTACCTTCCTCCGCGCTAAACTACCAAAGCATCTCCCGGGGATCGAACCCACGCCAGAGAGGTAACTGGATTAGAAGTCATCGACTCTAACCCCTCGACCACGGAGGCGGTCTTTGCCATTTAATAGATGCATAATACACAATTAAATTAAACGAAGTTTACCAAAAATTTACGAGCCGATATATTTTGTAATGTGTAATGAAGGGAGTAAGGTTAATTATATTTTTGTACCTTTGAACTTGTCAAATGTGCCAGCAATTCCACATCATACTACTAAGAGATCTAACAGAAGCGAATTATCAAAATATTTAACTTTAAATATTTTTACTATATATGATTTAAAACTGGTGGAAGTTACTTAATATTATCATTTCCTGTTTTTGGTAACCTTGTCAGTTACCTTAACAAAAAATTGTAGTTCAACTATACATATCTTATGGCAGTGATATATTAAGTTTTACCTAAATTTGAAGTCAAAGGTGACCGATAAATAAACCAAATGTATGGTGGCATATTTCTGCCACCAGATAACCATATAACTAACTAGTTAATTAAGAGGTTAACTAGTTACGTAACTAGTTAACCTCTTAATTAACTAGTTACTTATCAGGTTAACTAGTTGAGTAACTAGTTAACCTCTTAAATTAACTAGTTAGGTACCAGGTTAACTAGTTACGTAATTAGTTAACCTCTTAATTAACTAGTTAGGTACCAGGTTAACTAGTTACGTAACAAGTTCACCTCTTAATTAACTAGTTAGTTACCAGGTTAACTAGTTACGTAATTAGTTAACCTCTTAATTAACTAGTTATGTATCAGATTAACTAGTTACGTAACAAGTTAACCTCTTCATTGACTAGTTAGTTATCCGGTTATCTGGTGGCAGAAATATGCCACCATACAAATTTGATAGTGTGCTACAATGTTACAAGTATCATGTTAATTTGATGAAGATTAGATTTGAGAACTGATATAACATCTGTAATGAATTTTGTTGGTTACATGTATCATATGTAAGGTTTATATGAGTTGATTTAAAAATTCACACCACACTCCACAACTGACATATTCTCTTTAAAGGCACACAGCACCTTAGAAATACAAATAAAACTTTTTTGATTCTTAAGAAATGTCAAATGTGCGTTTAATGATCTGCTTTTTTAATGTTTTTATAATGGATTAAGTGCATATTATACGTTTAACAACTCAAGTACGTTGTGCTCAATGTGCAGTAATGTGTTGTAAAGGTAGCAAAATGTATGACTTTCATACAAAATATTCATTCACTTGATTATAACCATTGCCAAAAAAAAAGAAAAATTAGTGAAAAATAAAGTTGATCTTTATGAGTATTTATCCTTTTTCTTTGGAAATGTAAAAAGAAACCAAAAATAAAAAATTTCTTTTGAGAAATGAAACTGGAAGCATTTCTGAGGCATAATGGGGCCTTTAACTAATTATCATCATCATTATCATCATCGTTATTATCTCCATCATCATCAGCAGCAGCAGTACCATCATTATTAGGGGTATAAATTCATTATTAAATTTCATATGCATGTATTGTTGTTGTCTTTTTTTTCTTGTTCTTGTTGTCCTTCGTTTAAGGGGGAGGAGGTTGGGATGAAGGGGTGGTTATTGTTTTTGAGGGGTCGGGATTGTTTGGGGATTGTTTTTGTTTGTTTTTTATGAGGTGCTATTCCATGCATATTACATTTTATACAGTTTTTATTGCAAGGCGCATAATCCAATCCATTATAGAACTAAAAGTAAGGTAAAAAAAATTACCTGGTATACCCCATGACATCACATGATACATAACGGTTGCACGCTTGTTAGACATGTTATCAACCCATCTCGGTTTCAGTACCTGGACCTGAATATAAACCGCTATTAAAACAGTCCAGAAAAAAGAACTGCAAGGGGCAAATGATGTTATAAAACTTTGAAGGGTGCAACTTTCTTGTTCATGCTCATTGCTTTTATCTCTGTATTCCAGAAGTATGTATCTTGCTAAGCCAATGATTATACCAACTACATCCAGCAAATTGGCAATGGTCAAACACAGTAATAGTTTTCGGATATAATTCCGGACGGAAGCGATGGCATAATAAGATACAAATATGCATATTATTCCAATCAAAGACAGCAAACAACTTAAAATGGTAACAACAAGAACGAAAATTGGCACATGATTTATGGGACTTTTTGTCGCTGTCGTAACGTTGTTATACGTAGACGTTGTACTGACGTAAGACGTCTCCATATTTTCTAGCGCGTTTTATAATGTTCACTTATGTTGCGAAATAAAGACTCCAGAAGAATTTATTTCCACTGTTACTGTTAACTTGATGTTTGATGTATCTTTTCTTGAAGCTTTGTGTTATAAAATAATTGGTAACGTAAATATGTCACAATAAGCGTTGATATCGTATCACTCTAACCGTCTGTTCGTCCTTCCTTTTAAGACATCTAAACTTCAGCCATTTCAAATTGATATATTTCTGAGATTTATCGGCTTTCTCTGTTGATATTCCGTAAAACCAAACTCATTTGCTGATTAAATTCACTTTCTGATTTATATTTATCAAAACGCAGTGTTTGTATTTTTAATTTTCATTATCCCGAAGACAATCAATATATATATATGCACTTTGTCACACAAATTATAAGTAAAAACTAATTAGATCTATTTATCCAAACTTTTGTTACTATTCATAATTATACATTATTCAAATAATGGAAAACAACTTATCCTTTTTACCTCAATAAATACGTATGAACACATAACACACATAGCTAGGGTAAATTATCACTACATGTAGTTTAAATACATATTTGTATTAGTTTAAATTATGTTCGTCTTATCGTTATTATCAATTACATACGTGCGTCAGTATCACTGTATGTACGTCGATTAAAATTTCCGAAATTTTGCCATTCATTATTTATGTTTCAATTGATTTTTAAACAATAATTTAAACGGGTTTTTATTTCTTGTGTATTTATGACAATACTATTAAAGGGGAAATTACTGGGGTCAAAACTCCTGGAAAATATAATTGAAATTTGTACATAAATCAAATGGGACACGATATAATTATATGAAAATTGTAAGAGATGTTAAAGAACTATGTGGCCAAAATCAAATTGAAAAGATAACTATTTCAGCTTGAAGGGGGTAAATTTGAAAAATCAAACTGATTATTCTGGAATAACCGAAGTGAGCGGGGAATGATCAAAATTTTGCACACAAGTTGTTGGTCCAGTTTATACAGGTATCTTAATTGACAGTACAACAATCTCGAGAAGAATATTTTCAGTCCAGTCATGTGAACAAATCCTATCCTTGGTGAAGTCCCTTTAAACTTTCAAATAGTATGAATAATACAAGTCATAGGGAATAATTGTAATACGGATTAATAACAATGCGTACACTGAATGATAAACTGTATGATAAACCTAGATAACCATGAGATAATGGATCAATACATAACCTGTTGAATTTTAAATATTATGGATTTTGCCTCGTTTTGCATATAATATGAAATAGTTCTTTTAAGTTTTAGGTATTTTGATAATTTTTTAATGATAAAACATAGATCAATCAACATTATACGTAATGGCTGACTGCACGGTTCTATACTGGCTGTACAGTATCTGTTTCCGGTTAGTTTAAGTGGTTCGAGTATTCAAACATAATAGCATTGTGATAATAATAATTGATACGGAAAGATGTCCATTCACTTTAACCACAGTCGTCTTAAATCACAGTCGAGTTAAACGCGCGTGTTGTGATTAAACATTGACAAGTACCGCCTCCGTGGTCGAGGGGTTAGAGTCGATGACTTCTAATCCAGTTACCTCTTTGGCGTGGTTTCGAACCCCGGGAGATGCTTTTGTAGATAAGCGCAGATGAGAGTGTAACTCTTCAGGAACGATGGTTAGGGAACTACCCGCCTATATGGCTGAAATACTGTTGGGAAAAGGCGTAAAATGAAACAAACAAACAAACAAACATTAACAAAACTATGATAAGAAATATTTCGTCAACAGCCGATATTTTTATTGTGAATATAACAAATGATATTTAAAAAATAACTTACATAAATGTTATCATTTACTTTTTGTGCTCTTTTACATATCTAGGTCATATAATTTTCCATACTTAAGCTATAACTCGAAATGAAAAGCATGCACATCATATAGATATTTGAGCCGCGCCATGATAAAACCAACATAGTGAGTTTGCGACCAGCATGGATCCAGACCAGCCTGCACATCTAGGATCCATGCTGTTCGCTATCAGTTTATCTACTTGTAATAGGTATTGTAAGCCCTGATCAGACTGCGCGGATGCGCAGGCTGGTCTGGATCCATGCTGGTTGCAAATGCATTATGTTGGTTTTGTCATGGCGCGGATGAATTATTACATGTTTTCAGTGAAGAACGAAACTATATTGCGGTAATGTCACAGTGAATTATCACAATATAATTTTCACAGAATTCGGACACATATCTGAATGCTGATTATTAAATAAGTCGAAATACTGCGACATGCACTCCGTCATGGGTAAAATATGCTTTATTACAAAAGGCACGTTAATATCTGCATATATATCATTTTTTATAATAAAAATTATTTTTCAATAAGAACAATGTGACGTATTGATTTGATGACGTTATGAGTGAGAGGGCAAGCCAAAAAAATGACGTAAAAGTAAAAAAAATACTTTAAAAGCAGGATATAAAAAGAAAATATTTTTGATTTGTATGTTAGATCAAAATATATGTCACTCGTTAACACCAGCTCTTTTACATATTCACTCATACGCCACTTGTGAAATTATTCCATCATGTGTTCACTCTGTGAAAAATATTTTGATCTTACATGCGAATCAAACAAATATTTTCTATTTCTTTCATCAAAGCAATAAGAATATCATACAAAAATAATGAAATAATGACTTGAAAATTTCAACCAATGACAATATAATTGCATTCTGTTAACGTATTAACAGTAACAAAATATTAATCACTTACATTCAAATTTTGTGCTATGGATTTGCTCTGTTTTAGATTTTGGAACGGTCCATTGAAAGTGTAAGGGATTTAATATCAAAATTGAAAAACAAACATCTACCAAATAGTATAGAACCTAGTCAGCCTACCTACACTGAACGGATTTGTAGGCTTGCCCGTGGCAGCGATTAATGATGCCTGGAAGGTAATGGTTAATAGCTTCACATTATTATACAAGTCATGTAATATTATATTGATGTAACTTTGTCAATCGGTCAAAACTTGTTTTCCTCTGAATGACAACGTTTAAACATACATTCATTACTGTACGTGGATGTGATAGTTAATATAATTCATACATGTCATATGTTATGTTTCACAAAACTTGCGTTTCGTCACTTATTTATGCACCTTTTGTTTCATCTTTAGTCACGTGCATGACAATTGTTACGTCATCACATATTTATGCCTTGCTCTCCTCCGTTATTAGCCATTTGATCATTTCTGTCGTTTCTTGACAGACGACTGCAATAATGTTGTCTGATTACTCTGTCAAATACACAAAGACAAATAAAGTTGACGAACGCTTGTGCAGTATCGCCAAACGCTTGCCAAGCCAACATCACTCTGTCTGTAATTCTCATTTGTTCTGCAATAAAGAGACAACAATGTTACAGTACATGTACTTTAATTTACAAACAAAATATCGGTGCAAGATTGACAAATTGAATAGAATTGTTCTCAATAATGCATTAGCTAGTTGTTACAACAGCCCAATACTCGTGCCGTGTTAGGTTGTAAAATAAGCCAATATTTTAGCTAAAATCTGCCAATGTACCGATGAGAGAGACGGGAAGTGGTTTGCTAACCGAAAGTTTTGGGTGTAACCAACTTGCAGTGTGAAATACAATTAACGTACACTTTGTACATTTGCGTGTCCATGTATATGTTGATAATATATATATAAATGTTGAATGTCCCCGTTATTCCCCAGGGTTGGGATACAATTCATTGATGCATAATGAAGATACTTGCAAAATGATACGCCGCGTTCACAAAAAATTCATTTAACAAAGTAATAAAAATAGGTGACCGAATTTTGTTCATACCTAAGATCCATATCATGAAAGGAACATTTGAGCCGTGTCACGTCAAAACCAACATAATCCGCGCAGTCTGATCAGGATCCATGCTGTTCGCTATCAGTTTCTCTTCTTGTTATAGGTTTTGTATTCGAACAGCATGGATCCTGATCAGACTGCGCGGATGCGCAGCCTGGTCTGGATCCATGCTGGTCGCAAACAAATTATGTTGGTTTTGTCGTGACTCGGCTCATTTATTAAACAATAATGTAACAGTAAACGTATTAACAGTACATAGTGCAGAAATAGCCAGATTTACTAAAATATACAGTGTCTCACTTTATAATATCATGTGATGAAAACACCATACATTTAATATATATTAAGACTTTCACTCATTTTGCCTCAGAAATATCAGACTTGTGTCATATCGTTGTGTTAGACTTGTAATATAAGTCAATATTAAAGCAGCCTTCAGATTTGATTTTATTTAATGTTGGAAAACCAATTCTATGTTCTGTTTCAAACTAAGTATTTCTGTGATTTTATCTCGGAAAAGTGCATCATATCATTGATAAGCCTCCATCATAACAGCGTTCCGCGCGTCAGTGACTTTCGTTTCTAAAAATAGAAGATCTGGGAACTCCACTTAACTAATTTAGATATAGAGAGTAGACCGGTAGATTAGAGGTATTGAGGGGTTTCCCTATTGTTTCGTTGGGAAATTTCATTTTTGCCACCTTAATTCTTTAGATTTGACAATTATATGAATAGATTTATCTAAAATAACATATTTTAACTTTAGAAAAGCTGATGGTGTTTACCGTAACATCCTAATCTATTCTGTAATTGAAATTAATATTTTTCTTGATCTCATGTTTATAATGCGTAAACTTAAACACTTTTGTTTTACCATGTAAGGGTCCATACGTAACGTGCAGAAGAAAACGAAATGTTCCTGCGAAACGTAGTACATAGAATATGAGCCAAATAAACACAAAATTTTTATCCCCTCGTCTAAGTCCTGTAGATGTTTGCACATTCGAGTCGTGTATTTCCAAATACTGTCCGCCACGCCGTCGGAGACATCTCTGTAAGGTAAAAAAATACCTGATTTTTAAACATGCATGTGCAAATTGCAAGAATCTTTTAAGCCAAACATAATTCTTATAATATGGCGTATATTATACCATTATAATCGAATATATACTATGTTAGAGCATTCAAACTCTCTAAAAATCTAAATTTATCATATCTATATGAAGATTTATGCTGCTGCTGCTGTTGCTACCGTTGTTGTTGTTGTTGTTGGTGTTGTTGTTGTTGTTGTTGCTGCTGTTGTTGTCGTCGTCGGTGTTTTTTTGTGAACCAAAGAATAATAATGTGTTATCATGACGGTATATAAGGGGTAAGTTGGCCTGACTACGACATGTTCATCATTTCTACTAAGGAAGATGTTAGTCAGATTTCTGGTTATTTTTTAAAAGTGTATTTTACATTGTCGATATTATTAAGCCAGTGAAGTTGCAAGAGTTATTCCTAAACACATTATGAATGAAGTTTGAATACATTAGTCATAATAAAGATATCAGTTTATGTTCGTTACGTAAAAGAGAATTCAACACTTAAGCCCAAATGGTATCTTGTATAAAAAGTTTCTGTCTATAAAACTTATGCTTAATGACCTCCGTCCCTTTTTTTCAAACTTTTGCATTGTAGTCCAAATCTTGCTCCGGGCATTGCTTCAGGCTTTCAATAGTATACTAAAATAAATATAAGTAAAGAATCCATAAAGAAAGCTCGGAACGACAAAATCAAAAATGTTGCAGGCTCGGATAGTTTGAAAAAATGCAAATGCTGGAAAATGCAAGTTATCGTTCACGCCCCCCCCCCTTCTAGCACCGGCTTCTAAAGTTATTAACATTCCTCTGTTAAAAACATCTCTCAGAGACTTGATTGTTTTATACTTACAGGTAATATAGATTGATTGTTTTATACTTACAGGTAATATAGACGTTTTATAAACAACAAATACAAGAACTTCCGCCAGAACTAGATACGAAAGTAGTTCCCATCCCTTTACTGTCAAAATCATCCACAGTATAGCAGTCTTCCTCTCTGGATTTGTCTTTATCCAGCACCAAGGTCCCGTAAAAATATCCTCTGTGTCTCCAAATACTTTAAAGTACAGCGCAAGAATACAGGTTAATCCTATAAAATACAAGTATGTACCCAAATAAATCTGTTAAAAATTTAAAGACATATCTTACTTTTAATAAATAGTACATTGTATACCTCACTTAGGACCTCATAGAATTAAAGTGACAAATCAGTTAGCCCGGAAATATTTGGGTAAGGTATGTTTAATGTTTTGCGCTGTCTGAGAGGTCACTATAATACTATGAGGTACAAAGAACTGTATGCTATTTCTTACAGTATACCATGCATTACTTGGACATAAAGGTAAAACTTCAACGAGGACGGAAATCATATTGCTTTAATAACAATCTTTTTTTTTGTAAAATGTACTGAAGACTGTTGGTATTACGCAAATTGTAATAAAACCCTCGCGGCTACACGCGGTCGGACAAAAACGCGACAGTGCTCTCCAAGGCGGTCACTGTAACTTTGTCATGCATTGAATGATTTCAAAATAACTAGGCATAAATGTCTACCACATTAAGACGATGTGTCGCGTCCAAGAATTACGTCTCAAAGGTCAAGGTATCACTATCATTTTGAAGTTTCTAATTATCGCAATTAGAAGAAATAGGTACACACATTCGTGTTCGGACTGTAACTTTGTCATGCATTGCATGATTTTAAAACACTTAGACATAAGTGTCTACCACATTAAGACAATGTGTCGTGTCTAAGAATTACGTCTCTACCTCAAAGGTCAAGGTCACACTATCATTTTGAAGTTTCACATTTTCACAATTAGAATTAATAGGTACACACAATCGTGTCCGGGCTGTATCTTTGCCATTCATGGACGGATTTTAAAATAACTTGGCATAAGGTCTACAACATCAAGACAATGGTGCGTTCAATAATCACGTCCCTACCTCAAAAGTCAAGGTCACACTACCATTTTAAAGTTCACTTTATCACAATTAGAGTTTATAGGTACACACATTCGTGTCCGGGCTGTAACTTTATCATGCATCAAAGGATTTTAAAATAACTAGGCATAATTGTCTACCACATCAAGACGATGTGTCGCGACAAAGAGCCATGTCTCTACCTTCAAGGTCAACGTCACACTTATAGTTTGAAGGCACTCATTCTCTCGAGAAGAGTTTGAAGATACACATTCATGTCTGGACTGTAACTTTGTCATGCATGGAAGGATTTTAAAATAACTTGGTACAAATGTCTACCACATCAAGACAATGTATTGCGGTTAAGGCTCATGTCCGTCTGTCTGTGTGTCCCCACTTACACAACAATCATGTCCAGACTGTAATTTTGTCATGCATTTAGGAATTTTGAAATAATTTGGCACAAATGTCTATCTCATAACAACATTTTGTCGCGTCCAGGAACCACGTTCCTTCTTCAAAGGTCAAGATCACACTTCTATTTTGAAGGTTCATGCTATCGCAATTAGAGATTACATGTACAATAATACCAAGAACAATATTCAGCAATGAGTTTCTTTCATTCTCTGTTCTTTTCATTATACCTGAATGCATAAGAATCATTTTCGGGGGCATTAGTCACTTGGGTGACAGCTCTTGTTAATTTGAATATGCCCACTGATGTACCATTTTAAACAAATCCGACTCATTGTCAATAGATTGGCATTTTGTATTGCGGTTTCTACAACCATATACATGTATATAATAATAAATATATAAATAATGTATTGTTTGCTTTTGTATCTATAAATTTACTTATTTTACGTGAACTTTTACTTGATATATTGTAAATAAACTTGTCAACAAGTCCAAGCAATAAATTACTATTTGGTTACATGTTTAGTTTCTTAGCGTAGGTTAGACCGAAATACCGTATCCGTTCTGTGTATTCATACTATTGTGTTCGAGGTCCTTATCCGAAGACTTACTGAAAGGGTCGAAAAGTTGTGATTGGGCTCGCTGATTCTTATATGAATAAAATAAATAAGGAACATATTTAATATAAGGTATAATATTAACAATAAGTATTATTACCCCTCACTTTTTTTCGTAATGCTAATTTCCCATAGGCCTCTGAGAGTTATTTTTACTGTTAATGCAAGTGTACCACGTGACTAAGAATGTTGTACTGTTACAAATAAACAGTATTTTTTAACAGTGTAAAATCTGGTCTCGTGGTCTATTTTCTAAATAAAATGAAATAAAATGGCCGCCATTTTTCTCTCGATTCATTTTTATTTTCGACGTTAAACCCCGATAGGACATCAATTTCTTCTCTGGAGTAACTATGACACTCATAAAATTTAGTTGTTCGCACCCTGGTGTGCTTTTCGCGTATAAAATATCTTTTTGTTGAATAGTCAAAAAGTGAACATCCGTTTTCAACGGAAGTAATTGCAATGTAAATAATTATGTGTCAAAATGGATCATGCAGACGATTAAAGTATGCAACAAAGGATTATTTAACAATTTAATCATTGAAACGTTACAGATATGGTGGACAGACATAGGATATCATCGTTATTTTGTCAAAAACCATGCTAAGAATATTCTAGAAACAGAAGGATCAGATTTCACAGATCATAACCGTGTAAATGGGTTAGTGTTTTGTTTTCTAAATAAATCCTTGCTTATTGTATGTTTATGATTTGTAGATATCATCACTTGCTTAAAGAATAAAAGAAAAAGAAAACTTCTCAAGTAGGCTTAAAGAACACTTAAAACTTAAAAGGTAAGGACAGTTTAGTTATTGTTACTTTTGATTTATTTTTGTTACAGTTAGATTTAGTTGACAATTTCAGATCACCACAGTATTTTTGTTCGGGGTAATAAAATAAATAACACATGGGTTTGTGAGTAACAGTAAAAATATCATCCCTCGTAAAAATCAAAGGGCTGCAACCTCTGTGGTATTTTCTGATCTTTGCAATCTAAATCATACTGACTATCTGTATGTATTTTCCTATATAAGTTTATTTTTATATACTATAATTAATCTTACGCAGCGACTGCGTCTATAACAGTTTGAGATTGATACATTATGGAATTTTGCATGACTAGAGTTGCATCAAAAAATCATTTTCATTTTTTATGACAGCCATACTTTATCCTTGCATATCGTGGCTACTTCCTTAAAAAGACACTTCAAAAAAAAGTTGCCTCGACTAGGATTTGAACCTTGGGCCTCTCACACCCTAAACGATCGCGCTACCTCTGCACCACGGTGAAGTAATACATATGTAGCTTGAATAATAACAAATACATTGTAATTCTAAATTGAGAATTTCCATTCCGTGTTTGTAATCCTTACTAATTTCGAGGTATTTTCTTCACTATAAACCTGTTGTTTAACACTGATGAAAATAATTTAGCGAAAATCTTCTCGCCAAAACAGTACGACATGTATATATTCCACTACTCGACAGTCAGATTTATGTGTACTACGCTCTGGAGTATTCGGTAATCGACATAGCTAAAAATAGCATTTTCATTGATTAAGCTTTACGGAAATAGCCGAACATTTTTCATTGGGTAAAAAAGATATTCATCCGCGAAATTTGTGATTGTAACCTCATATTTCTATTGACTACTCTAAACTTTTAATGCACTGTAATTCGTTAAATGCATACATTAAAAATTATTCTTTATTTTAAATTGCTGGTTTTTAAGCAGTTCTGAGTGAGAACTACTTTGCGTTGTTAGGTCTGTTAGGAAAATTTGTGTTAGACCGTGGATGTTAGCTATGTATTTACTGATCTTGCGATCAGAAAATACAAAAACTGTTACCCTCAGCTACGCCTCGGGTAACAGTATTTTCCTCGGAATGATATTTTTACTGTTACCCACAAACCCATGTGTTATTTATATATTAATATGTGTTTTTATTTCATATATCATCATTTTAATCTATATCTTTCACAACATTTTACTAATGACACCAGATTCTCACCAAACATAAGAGCACTGCGCGAATTGATAATTCCATGATTTCAAAATAGTGCGGATAATTGTATACACCCCAAAAGGGCAATTCCGCTAAAAATTTGTAACTTTTTGTAACCCTTTCTCTTTCGTAAAGCTTAAGTTTTTCCACTTACCTACAACAGTTTTTCCTACCATCATTGTTAGCACGACAGTTTTAAGATACAAATATGCTAGCCATATTTAATTGTCATTTATGCGATGGTTTGGTATTATTTGAATGGCTGCCATGATTGATTATTGAATAAAAGAAGAGAAATGATAACATTTTGATGTAGACTCGCATAATAACTGACTGGGAGCAATTTATCTTTCTGAACACATCCGAAGTTATGCATGTGACTTTGTATTTTACAGATGTAAAGAAATTATAGAAAAACATTGACAAGACCGAGTATAAGAATACTAGCTAGATAGATAGGGAAGGAAATTCCCGTCTCAATGCTTGACCTTGCTACCATATAAAATATGTACACAGGTCCGAATATTCCAGTGTAAGGGGGGAATCCGTTCTTCGTTATTTTTCTTGCAAATAACGCAATACAGTTTACACAGAAATAAAACAAACTTATTTTTTTCGTTATTACTTTCTTTTTGTACAACGACGTTTGACTTTGCAGTTTAACTTTAAATGATGGTGGAATGACGTCATTCACAGCACGCGACTCATTTAGCACGTAAGATTGTAAGACGGTATCTCCCAGAAAAAAATATGATAAACAAGATCAACAAGGAAAGGCGGCGTTCAATGAACGCAACCCCCATATGACCCAGCAACAAGAACCAATGGCAAGGAGCCCAGGCGGACCCCAAACAAAAACAGGACAGGGCAAAGACAGAGCACGGACAGGTTAATCCTTAAATGATAAATAATTTGTAACTGATTAGAAATTCGTATATATCAGACAATCAAGTCGGCTATGCTAGAGATAAAACAGTGGTTAAAGTGTCTGCCCCTCAACCCAGGGATCATGGGTTCGAGCCCTACTTGGGGAACGGCCATGTTACTGGTTGACTCTAGAAAGCGGATTCGAAAGTGATTAATATAAGCTGCAACAACTTGTTTCAATAAGCGTGTTTAAACTAAACTCACAAAAACAAAATATGAATGCATTAGCACAAGTTAAATGTTCGAAAGTTTGACAGACTTGAAAATCTGTTGCTACGAATTTATTGAAGCTGATTTGTTACAAATGGAAGTAAATTTTATGATACACGATATTAAAGATGTTTGTGCTATAGTTTTAATCCTACGTATTAAAAATAAGTATATATTTATTAAATTGGGAAAAGCAAATGTTCGTTATAAATCAAAGATTCGTCAAAGATACGAAATATAAAATGTGCGTGTAAATCTATTTATAGAATAATTCAAAATTGTCTTACCAGGAACGCCCCATGACACCACGTGATACGCCACGGTTGCTTGCTTGCTCGACAGTTTTTGAGCCCAGCTGGGTCTTAATATTTGCACTTGAAAATATATGGCGATAAAAACTGTCCAGAAAAACGAACTACATGGTGCAAAGGAAACTACGACGCTCTGAAAAAGGCACACTTGTCTTTCTTTTTGATATATTTCATCGGTGAACTCCAGCAACATGTATCTCACTATTCCAATTATTATCCCAAGCACATGTATTAGATTAGCTATGGTCAAGAAAATTAAAAGTTTTCTAATATAGTTCCGAATAGTAACAATGGCGACGTAGGATACAAAAATGCAAAATATTCCGATCAGTGACAGACAGCAGCTCGCGATGCTTAGGACAAGCACATAAATGGGAACCACATTATTTGATGGACTAAAAGGGACAACAGAGCTATTATCAAAATACGAAGATGTGTAGAAATCTAGCGTAGCCATGTTTAAATAGTTATATATGGTTTATCTGAACAAATGTATATAATTCCTTTATCTATTCTATGACGCAAATAGTTTATTATTATGTTGATTCCTTTTTGATCTGAAAAATATATCTGTATAATCCATAGACATAAAAAAACTCCTTTCCAATGTGAAAACGTAGTTATATATGACACCCATATGTTGTAAAATAAAGGCCAACAGCTCGTTTCAGTTTCGTTGCTTAGCAAAACAATTGCTTTAACATATATAGTACTTTTCCGTGAAATCTTGAACATCCCGATCTTCAAGTTACTGAATCTCATAGCAGTCAAAAATAATGATGAAAAATAGAATAGTTACTATAATTATGTGTACATATTGAACTATTAAACAATTGAATCCAATGGTCATATCCTGTGGTTTAAGATTTATCACAATTTATATATGCGGAAACAAACTCGTGTATAGATCGCATACGATTGTATGACAGTGAATGCAAATAAGATTTACAACATTAAAATAACATATAACAACCTTATCCCAGGCCCAACATCACAATTTTGTGATTCATGCGGCCAACTGAGTTCGTTCTTAGGGGAGTAATTTTCTGTCCTCCTTTTCTTCATCATCATTCTCCTTCTTCTTCTTTGTCGTATTTATTTACGAGATACTTCCTTCTTAATTAAAAAAGCAACCTTTTAAACATATATCTTAAATTATTTGTACTTGTACTTGTTAATTTGTACGAATTGATAATTTTTTGATATCTGTTCACCATCCCGAATGTTTTTTTAAGTCCGTACGTATTTATATCAATTTTTGCAGAAATTGTCTGACCTTATGTGCTTGTTTAGATTCATTCTGGGATTCATCATTTGGAAAAGAAAAATTGTCCTTATGAAATCTTAATTGCCTTCTAAAGGTGTACATATAGGACAGACTGGAAACGGACGGACGAACTGACTAACTAACGGACACAGTCAGAGAGTTACGGTAACAAATATGATATTGCGTTGCGTGGGGGTCTATGTGGAAGGATCTCTACAGAATAGGGTGTGGTAGCGAATGAATCTGTTAGCATGCTATTTTTTTAAGAAACAATATAAAATAAACTTTTGGTCCACTGATTATAAATTTGTAACAATGTAAAAATGCATTCAATATCATTTCCAATTATGTGAAACAGGAAGATACACTTGACAAATAATTTACGGAATACGGTTTTTGCCATTTAATTGTGAATGTCGACGTATGACAAATGAAGCGGAACATATAAGAAACAACACACGACACGACAATGTGTCATATAAGCGTCGCGAGTTTACGCCATGTGTCGTATAGTGTTTGCTACAAAATATCACGTGTATTATTGAAC